CCGGGCAGCTTCACCTGCTGGGTTGTCTTGTGAGCCCATGAGTTCACCTTCAGCAGGTGGTAACACTCATTCCCTAATTTGCTTTCGGTTTAGAGATTACACAGAACAATTGTACATGAATTACCCTGGTCTGAAATAACCTCCTAACCCAGACTTGGCTGTGTTTGTGTCTGAGCAGGAGGATCACATCCACATGTGAGGCTTGCTGGTGGGGGCGTTGCCTGAGTCTTGATGGAAGGAGAAGTCAGAGCGCTTCCTGGGGCCGGCACAGCCACTAGCCCAGCCTGACTGTTGTCTGGCCAGAGGCACAGCAGAGGCCAGGGGAGGTGGCATCTTTGTATCCTGGCTCGCCTAGTTCCAGCGCACCTGCCTCATGCACTATCGCTTCTCGACTGGATTCACTTTGGGTCCCTGGTGGCTCAGATAGTAAGGAATTTGCCTGCAGCGTAGGAGACCGAGGCGCGATCCCTGGCTCGGGAAGGTCCCCTGGAGAAGGGGATGGCAGCCCATTCCAGTATCCTTGCCTGGAGAATCCCACGGACAGAAAAGCCTGGTGGATTGCAGTCTGTGGGGTCGCAGAGACACAACTGAGTGACTAATACTACTTTCTGAATACACTCATAGGAGTTGGAAGGCCAGGGCCCACTTGGCTTTCATGCTGGGGTCCCAGAGCCAGGGCAGCGCCTGGCTGAGATGGCCTGGCCACCCGGTGATGTGTTGCCCAAGCCCCTTGCTGCTGGGCTCCGTGTGCTGTGATCTGGGGGCTCTGACGTGATGGGTCTGCACAGATTTTTCATGAGTTGCCACCATGTAAAAAGCAGCTGTTTTAAAATAAAAATTCTGGTTTCTTTATAAGATAATACGGCAGCCCTCTCGTAGCCTCTCCTCTCCCCCTGACCCTGAGAGAGAGCAGAGAGTGGGTTTCTGATACGCCTTGTCCTTGAGATTCTTGTTGTCTAGTAAAGAGGCCAGAGAAGTGTGTCCAGTACTTGTGTGTGTGTGCTAAGTTGCTTCAGCCATGTCTGACTCTGCGTGACCCCAGGGAATGGAGCCCGCCAGGCCCCTCTGTCCTTGGGGTTCCCCAGGCAAGAATACTGGGGTGCATTGCCATGTGTTGCCTGTACTGCCATGTCCTCCTCCAGGGAATGTTCCTGACCCAGGGGTCGACCCCATGTCTCTTGTGTCTCCTGCATCGGCAGCCAGGTTCTTTACCCCTAGCACCACCTGGGAAGCCGCTTCCAGTACTGTTATCTCCATCGAAAGATAGCTCCAGGGGCAACATGCCCACATACCTCATTTTTTTTCTTTTCTGAAACCTGGTCCTGAGGCTGTGTGTTTGAGACCCTAACTCTACCAGATAACCTGCTAACTGGTGGGTAGTGTCACTGACTGCAGCTTCTAGGCAGGGTGATTCCCTTTCCCCACTTCAATGATCCAGCTTTGCAGGGAGGAGGGATAAGAAAGCAGAAGAAACAGTCGGAAATCCTAGCGATGCTAGTGTGCTGAGCACTCCCGTTTCACTGAAGACATGCATAGTTCACTCCCCAGAAAGTGATGCTTGTCCTGGGGGATACTGGGCAGCTCCTGCATAAGCGGGATCCTGGGTTGGCTTTTCTATCCCAGGAAAGAGTTCCGTACCCTACCCCCCTCAATTTGTCTACCCAACCCCTGGTTTGAACTGGAGCTTGAAGAGAGCACACAGGAAAGAAGAGAAAGCAGACCTTGTTCCCTTATTCCCACGGGATGAACTGAACCCTGCAGCTTCAGGGGAATGAGACCAACTTTCTAGCTCATTCAAAGCTATAAAAGAATGCCTTTTCTTTTATTTATTTATTTATTTATTTATTTTATTTTGTTTTGTTTTCTTTTTTTTTTTAAAGACCATGAATTTGAACCTATTATTTCTCTTATTTAGGGGGTTATTTCACTTGCTAATGACAATGGACTTCCATTTTACAATATAGTTTGTTCCCCCCCCCCCCCCCCCCCCCGCCCCAAGGAATCAGGTAGAAATTAGTTCCTTTAATTTACTTTGGAGAAAAAATCATTTTGCCCTGGGTAACTGCTTTGCCCAAGAACACAAGTGACAGTGGGAGTAACTGAAGGTGCTTTGGGACTCAACACACCTGGGTTTGGGTTGTGGCGCCACCATTTATTAAGCTGCATAGCATGAGGTCGCTGAGCTTCAATAAAATAGGCTTAGCAGCATCTCCTTGCTGAATTGTTTTGAGTGGAGTCAATACACAAAGCCCTGGACATCTTGTAAAGTGCTAGCAAATAGTTTGTAATAATAAGCGTAGTTACTATGCCGGAGAAACTGAAACTTGAAGCGGGTGGGGAGGAAATGTATATAAAAGGGAAAAAAAAAATCCGCCTTTGCATTGTAGCCAGATTGGGGATTGGGTTCCTAGGCTTGTCTTTGTCGTCATCAACACCACCTCCACCCCCAAATCAAGCAGATACTGGAATCTCTACTTTCGAGAGAACTGCTGAGTCATCACAGCCTTGGGAAAATGCACACGTGTGGTTGAGAACAGAGGCCACCCTGGGGAGAGGTGGAGGGCTGTGTTGTGAAGGACAGCGTCCATTTCCATTTGGTCTTCCCTGTCAGTATTGCCAAATGGCTTCTCTCAGTGAAATGAGGGGCAAAGATGTCAAAACTGCATTTTGATGAAGAGCATTGTTGAAGGCAATAGAAGAAGACACATGGATTGAATAAAAGCTTCTGCCCTGGGACTATTATCTAAGTGTCCTGCTCTCTGTGTTATTCTTATCAGGAGTTTCCTGTGACGTTCTCATTTTATCATCTGGAAGGATTTCTTACCGCCAAGGGTTTGTCCAAACCACTGATGAGCTTCTTGGTGCTCTGGGGGTATCTGTTTATTTCTAATTTTTAGAGTCATTCTAAAGAGCCATGAGATTTCTTTTGCACAGCCCTGGAGATAGAAGAATATTCACACAAGACCAAAGATGGGGAGAGGAGACAAAGCCAGACACCAGAGGCCACATGCCAGGCTTCAGATGTGGCCCCAGCCCCCAGACATCACAAAGTCCCCAAACCATTGCCTTAATGACTCATAGTCGGTATCTTCATCAGGTTTTGTTTTGACACTTGAGTCTAAGATTTATAGCACCATGACCACAACATTGCTTGTGTTAAATTAGACACAATTTGCTAATAAAAATCAATGAAAATCAACTTAGATTCTCAGGAACTGCAAGTTTATATGAGTCATTTGATGTGGGTTGTCTGGCTTTCCCTGTTACAGAAAATCCAGAAACTACAGAAAGGGGACAACTTCTCCCCCCTCCACTCCCCCACCCCATTTCTCCACTGGTCCCATAACTCTTTGAGCTTTCTCTATGCTGGTCCATATCTTATTGCATTGCAATAACTTCTTTTTGTCTTTTTTTTTTTTTTTTTGGCCACTTTGTGGGATCTTAGTTTTCCAACCACAGATTGAACTCTGGGCTCGGCAATGAAAGCACAGAGTCCTAACCACTGGACCTCCAGGGAATTCCCAGTAATAACTTATTTTCACGTCAGTCACTCCACAAGCCACTTGAGGCAAGGGATATGTCCCATTGTTCTGTGTGTCTGCTTCAGGCTCTGTATGACACGTGACTCAGAGTACTCAGAGCTGGAGGGGTTTCCCCTCTCCTTGTTGAGAGGAAAGAGCACAAATTTTGGAGTCAGTTAGGCCTTGATTCCAATACTTGCTGTCTGTAATCATTTTATTTTTTATTTGTTTGGCTGTGCCGCGTCTCAGTCTGGCACCCGGGATCTTTCCTTGTGGTGCATGGACCCTCTAGTTGCAGCGTGCAGGCTTAGTTGGGGCATGTGGGATCTTAGCTCCCCAACCAGAGATCAAACCCACGTACCCCTGCATTGCAAGGAGGATTCTTAACCACAGGACCACCAGGGAAGTCCCTGTGTTTGTATTCTTTGTTGTCTAACAAATTACCATGAACTTAGCTGCTTACACCATCCTGCATGTGTTAGCTCACAGTCCTGCAGAAGGAAGACTTTATGGAAGAGTCCCCGAGGACTCAGCCAGTTTACCTGCTTAGCGTCTTGCCCAGCTGAAGTCGGGGTGTCAGCCAGGCGGGCTTCTTACCCGGAAGCTTTGGGAAGAAATCACATCCAAGTGTTTTCAGGTCATTCGTTGGCAGAATCTACTTCCTTGTAGCCTCAGATCTAAGGTTCCCTTCTTGCTGGACAGTGGGGGACGACACTGTCCTCTCGAGGCCATCTTCTTCCTTCTGTGTGGCCCCCTCCATCCTCAGAGTTTGAATGGGTCCTTTATATGCTTCGAGCATCTCACTTCTCTTCACTACCTTGAAACCTTGGAAAAGTCCAACTGAGAATCAGATAAGGCCCGGTAGTAAAGACCTGCACAGATCTTTGTTGTTGTTGTTCGGTTGCCCAGTCCTGCCTGACTCTTTGCGACCCTATGGACTGTAGCCCGCCAGGCTCCTTGGTCCATGGAATTTCCCAAGCAAGAATACCGGAGTGGGTTGCTATTTCCTTCTCCAAACACAGATCTTGGTGAGGGTTAATTCTTTGTAATCCTTTTCTTGGAAGCTACTTTTATTTGAATCCTATCTGGTCTGATTCATATATAGCAAAATTGTAAAGAACCGTCTTTATCTGAAGTACTTGTCATTCTCCAAATTTGTCATGATTCATCATTTTCCCATCCAGAGGAATGAATAAAAAGAGACTACAGGGCGACATGCCCTCATCAGAACGTTTCTGGTTTTTCCCTTCCCTTCTCCCCAGCCCCCATCCCCACGTTCTGGCATCTCGGCTTCAGCTGCTGTCTCTGGGATGCTGGGGGTGGGGGCCGGCGTTGGCTTCTGGCGTCCTCAGACAGGTGGTGGCTGCGGGTCGGAGGCCAGCCCCGGCAGCTGGCCCCTGCCACTCGGCGGGAGGCTGGGCCTGGCCGCGAGGAGGACGACTGCTCACCCGCTTCTCTGCCTGTCTTGTGCCTCCCCAGGAGATCCTCCGCGAGCTCACACTAGATGCCCTGCTGGACATGAACGAGGCCAAGGTGAAGGAGACGCTCCGGCGCTGCGGGGCCAGCGCCGAGGAGTGCGGCCGCCTGCAGTACGCCCTCACCTGCCTGCGGAGGGCGGCAGGCCTGGGTAGGTAGGGCCAGTCCCGCTGGCCCCCTCGCCCTCCCTTCGGCCCAGACGCTGCACTTCTCTGCCGGGCCTGGCCTGGCTCCTGGGGCGCCAGGGCTTTTGCTGGGATGGATGAGGAGCTGGGTGGGGCCGGTGTGACCAGGGTCTCTGGGCCGGCTTGCCATGGCTGGAGTCCACGCTCAGAAAGTGCGTGATGGACCCCACTCGAGGCAGAGGCCCTCGAGACAGAAGGCTCCCGGGTCCCACTGGTCTGGCCAGTGTGAAGCTTTAGCCATTGTTGCCAACCCCAGGCTGGGCAGGGCTGCATGACTTCCCTCTGTGGAACACAGAGGTGTTCCTACAGAGGTAGGTAGGGCTCTGTGACCCTTCCCTAGCTTCCTTCTCATCAGCCCCCTCCCCGCCCACCCTCTCCCTGCCTCCGATCCCCACCCGCCCCCTGCCTCTGCATCCCCATCTGGGCTGTGTGCTCAGAAGGCACGCGCTGGTGTGGGATCAGCCTGAGCCAAGCACGCGGACAGAAACTGTACACAGTTCAGCTGTGAGTAAGGACACGTCTGCCCCAGGCGACGTGTGTAATCCTGGAATGATGAATAGTGTTCCTCAGGAACTTATTTGCAGGCTTTCTCAGTCTTACCCTGGAAATAGCTTCAAATGCCCAGACTTACCGCTCCCATGACCACACAGATAAGCCTTTAAAATGAACCTAATGAATGGAATTAGCTCCATTTTTTAATTAGCTGAGCCTCATGTCTTATCTCCAGCTGCCTGAAGCTTAAGGAAGGCTCTGAGGTTTATATTCAGCTTGATTTTCTTTTCCCCCCAGAGAAGATGGTGCTTAATTTCTTCCCTGGCCCCACTGTATCAAGTCTTCCTCTGAACACAGAGTCCAGAGTTTTAATTGATTTGGAAAACCTCAACACATCAGGCTTCTGGCAAGTGCCAGGAAGTAAACAGCACAGGGACATAGTTAGCATTCTTATCTCTGCATTTTACAGAGAAGGAGACTGAGCCCAGAGAGGGGAAGGGGCTTACCCAAGGACACACAGCAGTGGGTGGCAGAACTGTGCCTCGAGCCTCAGCCCTTGCTGCCCAAGCACGTTTCATTGTCTTTTTTCTTTATATCAAGAGAAAAGATATTTCTGATGTGCTAAATAAACCCCTGGAGGTAAATTAGCGGCATGACTAATTTAGCCATTGCTGTCAGTCTCCTTCAGACAACCGCCAAAAAAAAGTACCTGCCTCCCAAGCTGGGAATCTGGGGGACCTTGTCAGTCCTTCCTCTTAATGCCTGTGTTGTAAGGAGTTGAGGAGGCTCTGGCCACTGGGTGGTGGTGACCTCTGTGTGTTAAGGCTGCTGTCTGTCCATCCTGAATGCCAGGATCGGAAGATCACTAATTTACGAAGCACTTGTTATATGTTCCCTTTGTAGCTGGAGCATCAGAGGCTCTGGATGAATTGTGTGAGATCCCACACCCAATATTCAGTTGAGCTAGACTTTGCTCTGTTTTCTTCCTTAGAAGATGCTTTTCCCATAGTGCCCCAGAGCAGGCCCTGGGCAGAGGGTCCTTTCTAGGTGCTCTTTCTCATTCCATCTTAGCTTGTGGTGCCCTCCATCTCCAAGAGGGACCTGCCACACCCAAGTCCAGGGTGCAGGCAGGCGGATGGGCCTGCCCAGCAGTGGCCACACTTCAAGTGTACCTGCTGGGGACTGGGTGGTACCTGTGATCGCCCTGTCTCTCAGGTCCTGCAGTCAGAATCTTCATGGTACCTGGCAGGCTAGTTACTTAACCTCAGTGTGCCTGAGATTCCTTATGTGTAAAATGGGCATACTAACAAGACTTCCTCTCATGGAACTGTTGGAAGATTAAATGAGTTAATTAAGTTCATCTACTTAGTCTAGAGCCTGGCACATATTAGTATGTATTTTTCAGTATTGGGCCTGTGGGGTGATGGCAAATGTTGACATCTGCGGTCTTAAGAAGGTGATGAAGGATATTTCTTTATACCTGTGGCTGGTGAACAGGGGAGGATCATGCTTGCTGATTCTTCCTATCCGTCTTCCATAGCAGACATCACTAATCAATCCCCGAGCTCTTCCTACTTGGTGACTCCAGACTCATTGTCAAGCAGCCACTGCTAACTGACTGGTGTCCGCACGCAAAACCAGAGCCATTTGCCACCCCTGAGCTGGCTGAACTAATGGTGACAAATAGACAATTTGAAGAATTGGGGGCTTGTTTCCTTGGGTGGCAGACTTGTGCATAGATCCATGGAACTCATTCTTTCATTCCCTCAACAAGAGCAGTATTTAAGTTCGGGTGTAGATCTTGGCCATGGCTTCCCAGGTGGCTCAGTGGTAAAGAATCTGCCTGCCTATGCAGGAGACCTGAGTTCAAGCCCTGGCCCGGGAAGTTCTCCTGGAGGAGGAAATGGCAACCCACTCCATTATTCTTGCCGGGGAAATCCCATAGACGGAGGAGCCTGGCAGGCTTTAGTCCATAGGGTCACAAAGAGTCGGGCGCAACTGAACACGCGTGCATGCGTAGGTCTTGGCCACAGTTCTAAAGGAGCAAGCATAAAGAATATACAGACTAACTCATCCAGGTTGATTCATGAATAGAAAGTCACCATGTAGTGAGGTAGAAGGAAGGGCATTTGATGAGAGGATGGAATAGACAAACTCTAAGAATTGGGAAGGTTAATATCACTCCACCTTCCCTAATAGATGGCTCTGTGGGCTGGGCTTTATCACCTTTGATGATAAAAGAGCTCATTAACTCCCAAGGCTGTGTCATTACAGGTTATTCAGAATTGGTAGCTTTGTGGGAGGAGGTCCAGGACTGTGGTTGAGATCAAGGGCTCAGCTCTCATCTCACTGCTTACTTTGCTATGTGTACTTGGCAGTATACATGGCCTCTCTGAATCTCATCAACCTTACCTTGCTGGGCGGATTGAGGGAGACAGGGTTCAACATGCTAAGTCGAAGAATTACAGGGTGGAAGTTCATTTTGTCTTGAGTCAAAATCTCCCCTCCTGTGCTTTCCACTCATTGATAAATATGAGGAGGGATGTGTCCTCTTCCCACGACAAGGTCTCTGTAGACTGGCATCTTTTCTCCGTGCCTCCACCCCTTCAGTATCTCGCTGTCTCCTGTAAGGTCAAGCCTCAAGCCCTTGGCAAGACATCCAAGGCCCCTCTGGAGCTGGTCCCCAGTGGACTGACCCTCCAGCTTCATCTCTCACCTCTCCCTGGCTTGTCCTGACTTCTCAGGGCACCTGGGACTCTGTGTGGCTGCCGCAAGATGCCCTGTGCTCCCCGCATGTGCTGTCCTCTCTGCTGGGTACGCCTTCCCCAGTTCTCCCTCAGCGGATCCAGCCCAGCTGCCACCTCCTCTAGAAAGCCCCCTGACCCTCAAGCTCTTTAGGCTCCTCCTCCTCTGTACCCCCTCAGTCTCCATGCGTCTCTGTGTCAGCATGCAGCACACCGAACTGAGTGTCCATCACTCTCACTGGACTCGTCATGCATCCCAGACGTGCCTTTTTATGCCCTGACATCCGGCATTCAGTGAATGCTTGCATGAATGGACAGACATGTCATTGATTTGGAGCCCTCAGAGCCCCAAGGCCTCGGGAGCCTCAGACAGAGGGTCGCCGTGGGAGCAGCCAAAGTCACTCATAGGCTTCTCTCAAAAGGAAGTGGCTGTTGATCTCTTTCTAGCTGGGTCTCTCTTCTAGCAACTTCCCAGGGAAGTTTGCTTTCAGAAGGTCCGTGTAGCCCCTTTTCCTGTTGATTGAATTTTCTCAGAGGAGAGTTATCCCTTTACAGCCTAACTCTTAAAAACAAACAAATAAACAAACATATGCACCTTTATTTTTTATTTGTTTACTTTTGGCCACCCCTAGTGGCATATGGGATCTTAGTTCCCCGACCAGGGATCAAAGCCATACCCCCTGCAATGGAAGCACGGAGTCCTAACTTCTGGAGCACCAGGGAAGTCCCTACGTAGCCTAACTCGTAGAGACCACTCACCACTTCCCTTTCTGAGATCACTCACTTTGGGGGTGGGTCTCCACACACCTGCCAGTGGGAGCCCTGCCCTATTCCTCTCTGGGTTCCAGTTTCTTCTCTGTATGTCGAGGACAGTAGTATCTGCACTGGGGTCCTGACAGTCAGCTGGATAGCATGTGTGCTTGAGTTGCCTTTATAAAATAGGTGATGGCTGGCAGCTGGAGGCTCCGTTGAGGGACTGTGCTTCTTGGGTGGTTCCTGGCCACCTCACCTGTGACTCCCTCTGGCCGCAGCCACCTGTGACTCGACTCTTTGGCCTACAGGCGGGGAGCACAAAGAGGACTCAGGCTGGAGTTCGTCTGATGCCCGGCGGGAAAGTGGCTCCGGGCCTGCCGCAGACACCCTTTCGCCAGCCAGCCTGCCCTGGCCTCCGGGGAGCTCCCTGCTGGGCAGACTGGGCAGCAGTGCCCAGGGCCCACGCTCCGTCTCCGTGTCCGCTCTGCCCGCCTCGGACTCCCCAAACCCCGGCCCCAGTGAGGGCCTGTCAGACCCCTTTATCTCCCTGCACGCCAGCGGCCGGTTGACCCCCCGTGCCCTGCCCAGCTTCATCACCCCGCCGACCACGCCCCAGCTCCGACGGCACACCAAGCTGAAGCCGCCCAGGACACCGCCCCCGCCCAGCCGCAAGGTCTTCCAGCTGCTGCCCAGCTTCCCCACGCTCACCCGGAGCAAGTCCCACGAGTCTCAGCTGGGGAACCGCATTGACGAGGTCTCCCCGATGAGGTAAGTGTCCTTGCCAGCCAGGTGCCGAATTTGCCACCTACTGAAAGTTCTGGCTACAGTTTTCTCGCTGTAAAGGTAATATAGGCTCGGTTTTTAAAGGATAAAATTGGCCAACATAGAAACTACAATGTAAAAAGTGAAAGATGCTCCCATTTCTCAGTCCGCTACCCAGACTACCTGAACTGTTTGGGCTGAATTCTATTAGATATCTTTTTATGTACACACACACACACACACACAGACACGAAGTGATACTATGTATTAGTCAGAATAGACTGGGTTATACTGCAGTAACAAATACCCCCAGGTCTCTGGGTCTTCAGATAACCAGAGATTTATTTCTTGCTCATGCTTCCTGTCTATCACCAGTCAGCCTCATTCCAGATTCAAGGCCAGAACATTGTCTAGAACATCCCACTGTAGCAGAGGAAAAAAAAACTTTACTTATTACAACTGAGCAATTAAATGCTCTTTCCCAAAAGTTCTACACACCATTTATGGCCCTACCCAAACAAAAGAACCAAGAAATGTCATCCTCCTATATGCCCAGAAGGGGGAACTAGAATATCTGCTGAAACTGCTAATGATTATCAAATACTATGTACTCTATGCTATAACCTATTTTTTCAACTTACTTTTCTTTCTGGGAACTAAATATCAGTTCATCTTGAACTACCTTACTCTCTTATTTATTTATAAAAAAATTTATCTATGTATTTTATTTTATGGCCACAGCATGTGAGATCTTAGTTCCCTAACCAGGGATCGGACCCATGCCCCTTGCATTGAAAGTGCAGTGTCTTAACCACTGGGCCACTAGAGAAGTCCCTTGATCTATGTATTTTAAATAGTTAGTGACAGTCACATGGTCCAGTATTGCTCACAAAGAACTTTGTAGAGGTTAAAGTTGTCCCCTACCATTTTTCCTTTCCTTTCAGGAACCAACCAGGTTATCAGTTTTGTATATATCTATAATTATTCAAGCTATCTCATCTTCTAAACTTTTTAAAGCCTCTTGCCAGGGTATAGTTTAATTCCTCCCCTCTTGATGGATATTTAGGTCTTTGTCCGTCTCTTTTATAAAAATCGTCCTTGTTTATATACCCTTGTGGAAGGGGAGGGGGAGTTTTCCTTGGGTGCCTCTTATCTTCTTGTGCTTCTGAGGGTGGGGAACACGGCCTCGCTCCTGACATGGTTGTTTTGGGTTTCAGATGGGCTTGTTCCCCATCCCAGGGCAGGCTCTCTTGGGTCCCTTGTGGGATGGACCTTGGACAACTCTGGTGGTTCTGAGTGTGTGTCACCCAAGGAGAGAAATCTAGCTGTGACCTACCTGCCACTCCCGATCAGACTGTCCTGCTGGGGCCTGGGGCCTCCCTCCTCCCTGACCCGCAAAAGGGGCTGAGCCTTCCATCCGCCCCTGGATCTTCTTCTGTCTGAAGCACAGTGATAACAACCATGTGGACACATGGATGTGGGTCATTCAGAAGGCATCCCAGTGCCTCTCTTTCTCTTTTTTTTTTTTTTTCCCTGAAAAGAGTGTTAGGGGGGCTCTGGGTGGAGAACAGAGTCTCGGGCAGATGACACCACTTCCTTGGGTCCCACTGCTGGTGAGCTGGGCCTTGCACCCTGGGATTCTGAGTCAGGTCTCCACAAAGACCAAAGCTGTCACCGACACGAGTACTCAGACCACCCTGCCGCCCTCGATGAGCCCTGAGGCTGGACTGAGTGCCCTGGGCTCCCAGCTGTCTTCGTCCCTGGGACAGCGGCACCCCCAGGAGATGTCGCTCAGGCCCTACTTGGGGGCCGCCTCTCTGCTTTTATAACTGTCCTCCTCGCCTCCTGCCCCAGCCACTTCTCTGGCTCCCTGAGCCGCCCTCCTGCTTGGTCCGAGCAAGCAGGGGTTTGGGCAGGGCTCCTTCACGTAGAGGCATGTGATCTTGGGAGATTGTGAGCCTGTTTCCTCAGCTGTGAAAAGGAGTGAATTCTAATTACCATGCAGGTAGCTGGCGAGGGCTAGGAAATCTCATGTATTAAAGCACAGTGTATGGCTCCATTGTCCAGTGAGGAGTTGGGAGGGGGCCACCTCTAGCCCTTGTCGTTGAGGAAAGTCCCCAGTCACTCAGCCAGCCCGTCCCCACACAGGGGCTCAAAGTCCTCATCCAAGCACTGTATCCGCTCCTGCCCAAGGACTGATGTGCCAGGGACACCAGGCCAGCACGGTGACATAATCCCACTTTCTCTTTTTTTTGTCTCCTCCAGGTTTGGTAAGAGTGATTCATTTTCATCCCCTCTGCCACCCAGGAGTCCTGTTTCTGTTGCTGTCCCCATCGGGGGTGGATTTCTTCGACCCTCTCTTATTCCCTGGCCTTTCTGTGGTCCAGAAGCAGAGATGCTGGGCTGCACCTCAGGAAGTAGCTCTTAGGACAGGGAACCTTCAGATGATGAGGTGGTTCAGCCCAGCCCGCAGCTGCCCTGAGAAGCAGGCACCATGAGAATGTCACCGTCTGTGGGCCCCACTTGCACCTTGCCACCCCTACAGGTGACCTCTGGCAGGAGTTGTTTACCTGCTGGGCTGCCGTGGTGATGCCATGCTCTGGGGAGAGAGGTCCCTTATGTTCAGTGTAGATGGACGGTAGCCATCTGCAAAGTCCAGCTGACCTCTTGGGACCCTCCACCCTGTTCAGGAGAGGGATATCCCTGGAGGCAGGAATGTGATCATCTCTGAATGAGGCCTGAGAGATCAGAGGGTGTGGATGTCCCCTTGGAGGGGGTGGTAAGGATGCCCAGGCAAGCTCTGAGTCCCTTTTCCACATCTGGGTTGAGAACTGATTCTTGTACGAGGCTGTGCTCCGGGGCATCTCTCTCCAGAGTCAAAGCAGAGGGAAACAGCCTCTGGGGTCTGCTTTTAATTGTCTCTGTGGAGATACAGAGGCATCTGATTTTGCCTGAGCAAAATAGCAGCTTGTTTTTGTACTATTCTATACTGGGTAAATAGAGTGAAGAGGCTGTCAGCAGGGTCTGAGAGATGTGGAGTGGGGTAACCGACAGTGACTTTGCCAAAATGGATCTGACTGCAGGACCTCCAGGGAGGTATAGGGCAAGGAAGGAGGGAGACTGCCCTTCCCTGTCCTCAGGGCACAGGCAGAAACTCCCATGACCCCTCACAGAGCCTTGGAGGAGAATCCAGCATCTGCATCCCTGGATATCCATCTTCCCAGTTGCTATAGTGACTCAGGGACCACAACAGTGAGGCTGCTTCCCCAGTTTGCCTGGAAGGTGAGAGGAGGCCTTTAGGACCAGTGTTTCACCTCCATCAGGGACAGCATCATCTCATATCCTTCCTATCCCAGGCCTGTGGCAGATATTAGTAATCAATTGTAGGTTGCCTTCATGATCAGAGACAGCTTCATCTCACCTCTGTCCTGTCCCAGGCCTGTGGCAGAGGTTACTAATCAACTGTAGGTTGTCTTCAGGATCAGGGAGCACCTCATCTCACCTATGTCCTAGCCTAGTCCTGTGGCAGACATTACTAATCAATCACAGATCATCTTCAGAGATAGATGGTTAAAATCTCATTTTCCCACTGTCTGTTTCTCCTAGTCTGGCAGCCTAAACCCTTTTAGGTCCATATGATTTCATGGCCTTGGCTACTGACTGGGGTGGGGTGCCTCCTCCCACAAGGGAGTTGGGAGGAGTCAGGCCCATGGCAGATGTGCTGGAGAGATTGTGAGTTCAACCATCAGTAGGTGGCAGAGGTCCCCATCAAACTCCCCTTGTTGTAGCAGGGAAGTCAGTACCTCCATCATGCCCTTCTCCTGTGGTTGGGTATCTGGTACATGGTTTTAAGTGAACCACCACTTATTGAGCACCAGCTGTGTGCCAGGCCAGCATGGGGTGGAGGGCTGACTCAGAGGATGTGAGGTGGCCACAGATCCCTAGAGCACTGTGTTCCCGACCTTTCTGAGTCACAGATCTCTTTGATAATTGGATAAAAATCTAGACCTTCTTTCTAAGGAAAATTCTGCCTCAACCATCTCCAACCTTTTTGGCACAGGGACCAGTTTCCTGGAAGACAATTTTACCATGGATGGTGGTGGCGTGGGGGTGGGCAGGGGAATGGTTTAGGCAGTGATAATGTGAGCAATGGGGAGCAGCAGATGAAGCTTTGCTGTCTCATCTGTCACTTACCTTCTGCTGTGTGGCCCGGTTCCTAACAGGCCATGGATCAGTACCAGTCCACAGTCCAGGGATGGGGGACCCTTGCCCTACATCATCTGCTTACCAGTCCAGAAGAGTCCCAGACCCCCTGCAGCACATCCATGGGCTCCTTTGAGAAACCCTGCTCTGGGAGGAGATAGGCAGTATTGAGTATGGGCAGAAGCTGGGATGGGGAGGAGTGGGGGTCTCTCTGGTGAAGGAGGGGAGAGGGAGTTAGACATTGGCTGCCAGTGGATGACAGATTGCTTCCAGCTGCTCTTCTACTGCCCAACCTAATATACCACCAACTCCAGGGATGCCCATTCAAATAAGGAAGCCAGGGCTGGAGAGAGAGGCCAGGGTGCCCTCTTGGAAAGCATGCAAAGCTCATGGCCTAAGACTTCCCCCAAGGCTCAGACTGAGTACCTGGCTGGGGCTGGACCACAGCGGACTGTGTGAAGCTTCACCTTGTCTTTTCTCTACCTTCTGGGATCCGGCAGTGGTGGCTCTCAGAGCAAAATGCCCAAGGTGCTTCTGCCTGGAGAGCTGGGTGTGCTGCATGGCTGACAGCCTCACCCCCTCCGCCAAGGGTCAGGCAACTTCTACCTGCGTAACAAGAAGAATTGGTGCCCTGTGGGTGCCTCCACAAGGAAGTGCAGGAGATGGGGGGAGTTGAACTGCTGTCCTCACCTTGGCATTGCCTTCTGCCTCACAAGCCTGTCTTCCTCCAAAGCTGGAAATCTCCCAGGGGCTGTTTCTGAACTGTCTGCAGAGGCTAGGTGGTAGCATCTGTTGGGGGGTGGGGGTAACCACACTGGCCCCACTTTGGTCTCGCCTGGCCATCCCTGTCTTGATTAGAGGCAGGTTCAGGAAAATGGCCCTCGGCCATGTGGTTGGTTTTGCCCTGCCCACCCCCCCCAACCATGTGGTTGGTCTCCACCCCCACCCCCACCCCCCAGTCTGTGATCTCTGAGACAGCAGGTCCCAGGTACACACCGTCCAGGTAGGAAGAACCCCCTCAGCCTGCCGACCTGGCCTCTTTCCCCGCAGATCTCCCTCACGGATCCCCGCAGATGGTACGAAGGGACATCGGGCTCTCCGTGACACACAGGTAGGCCTGGGTGGGCTGGGGTGGGGAGGGGGCACAGAGCTGGTCTGGGACCTGTATAAGCTGAGCCCTGCTGGGGGGTCACTCTACACTGCTGGAGCTCTGTCCTGACCCTGTCTCTCAGGGCTCTTTATGTGTCTGTCTGTCCATTCCTCTGTGGACGTGGCACCCACCTGGAGCCCCTGCCTGTCACCAGCAGCCCTTTTGGACTTGCTGGCCCTTCCCTGCCCCTCCTTGAGTCTCCTTCTCCATCTGCTGAGGGAAAACACAAGTTCCAGGAGAAACAGGGAGCTGAGAGCATCTCCCTAGGTCCGGCATGGCGTCACCTCCATGGACATAACTGGCCACACATCAGAGCCCCGTGGAGCTTGATGAGCGCCAGCCTCCATCTATAAGCTTCTTGGCTTGCCAGTCAGGATTCTCGCAACTTCCGGGACTGGTGCTTACGCAGCTGGTGTGGCTGGTGAGGGCCCATGACATGGATCGCCCAGAGGCCTTAGCCTCAACACTCGTGAGGCTGGCGTGTGCTGCCAACAGCAGGTCTCAGCAGCATCTTGTCCCCCCACCGACGGCCAGCAGGGCAGTCCTTTGGGATCCCTGTCCTCTGGCCGCCCCATTAAACAAGTCATGAACATGGCCGGGCACGCTCGTTGAGAGCCTTGCATCTTGCCAGGGCCTCTGGTTTCCCTCGGAGTGTCCCTGCTGCACTCTGGCCTGTGCGGAAGGCCAGCCCCGAATCCTCGCCCCGTGAGGCAGGCTTGGCTCGGAGGGGTTGAGTAGTTTGCCTGAGGTCTCACGGCCACTGAGACACTCTTGAAACCACTGGCTGGCGCCCAGGCACTTCTGTCCCAAGCCTTGGCAAGGCCTGGATGCCCGTCCCCAAGAGCCCCTGGGAGGAGAGTCCCTGGCACCAGGAGAAGCCATCTGAGTGAAGGTCCCTCAAGCACACCCAGCGCCATCTTCCCTGCCAGGAACCCCTCCCAGCCTCGGTTTCCCTCTCTGCGATTGGGACTTGCTGCCAGTCCTGTCGGGAGGATAAAAGGGGGGACGTGCCTGTGAGCCTCATGCACCCAGTGCTGGGAAGCACTTGGTGGTTAACCCCCGGCTCTGGCCCGAGGCAGACTGACTTAGGTAAGGGACACCGGGATCAGCAGGTTGCTCTGTTTCATTTCTGTCTTGGCCACACCTGGCCTCACAGAGGATTTGATGGACCCCGCGCAGCAGCATCCATCCTGTCTGGCTTCGCCAGGTGGCCCTGCCCGCCCCCCCCCCGCCAGGCTCTGGGCTTGGGTATGGGACATCATGGTCACACTCTCTTGGATTTTTAAATTCATGATCCGAGCCTCTCTCTGCAAGAAGTTCTGAAGCATTTTGGCCTAATCATAGGGGAAAAAAATATTTTATAATGCTTACTCCACACCCCCAAACCTCCCTAGCGCCTGCCCCTTCTCTGGCTGAGCCCCCAACTCTCATTTCAACCTGTTTTCGGGATTTTCTAGTGGAGGCCATCTCGAGAACCACTGAGCTGCTCCCCTAACCCCCATGTTAACAGGAGATTAAAGGCTAGAGAGACTGTGTGGATCCCAGAGAGGCTGGATCAGAGCTCCTTAAAAGGCATTCTAGGGACTTCCCTGGTGGTCCAGTGGCTAAGAATCTACCTTGCAATGCAGCAGACCTGGGTTCGATCCCTGGTTGGGGAACTGAGACCACACATTCCATGGGGCAACTAAGCCTGAAACTACTAAAGCCACTCTAGAGAGTCTGTGCTGCAACGAAAGATCCGAATGATGCACTGAAGACCCGACACAGCCAAATAAATGAATGAATAAATATTAAACAAAAACGTCATTCCAAGGGGGTGGGTGCCTTTCTCCTAAGCCTGGAGGCTCCCATCTTGGCTAGGAGAAGCAGTGACGTTCACACCCACAGTCCAGGCTCTGCACGTTACACGGCACATGTGATTCTCCTCAAGCCCTGAGAGGGGAGAGTGTTGGCCTCTTTTGCAAAGACTTGGACCCATCCCACAGCCAGCAGTTGGCAGGATTCAAACCTGGTGTGGTCTGACCGCAAAGCCCAGGCTCTTTCCCTCTTTTTCTGTCCTAGTGGTTCAGAGACCTGAGGTCTGCCCCCGCTGCACAGCACCCCACCTGTGTGACCTTGGGAAAGTCACCTAACCTCTCTGAGCTGGGTTGCTTGCCTGTGTCCTCAGAATCCCTGACCTGCCTAACTCCCTGGGGTGGTCACTCCCAGGAGTGAGCTAATGTTTATGGATGCATCACAAACTGTTCCCCAAGTCCTGTTGCTATTTGTTCTGTTGTTACTATGATATCCTATGCTTTTAAAAATCTAGTCCTCCAAAACTGTGAGTTCTTTCTGCCCTTAGGCTCCCCATCTTGTGAACAGACCTTGGACTTTTTTTCCTGGGAGACAACCACCCACTCTATCCCCATCCTTCTTTTCAGTGTATCTTTTGTGGATTGTTAAAAAATTTAGTTTGGATTGAAATGCATGTATAATTCAAACCTCCAGAGGATGTATATTTATGAGAAAAGTCCCCTCCTGCTGCTGTCATCAGCGTCCCAACCCCCCCTCCCCCATAAGCTGATCTTGGCAGTCTTCTATGTGTCCCCCTGGAGATATTTTTGTACAATCAAATACATATGTAAATTCTTCCGCCTCCTTTTTTATTTTCACAAAAATATTGCATATATTATACACACTGTTCTATACTTTGCTTTTTTCTTTTTAAAATTGAGGCATAATTTATATGGAGCTAAGTACACAAATCCTTAACATATGTATACACCCACGTACACCACCCATATGAAGATTCAGAACATCCCCATCCCAGAAAGTTCTCTTTGGCTCTTCTTAGTCCATAGTGCTACCATGCAGAGATGCTATTCCCTTCTGTCATCATAGATTAGATTTTCCTGTACTTGAACTTCAAATAAATGGACTCATGTAGCATTGGACCTTCCTTTTTTCACTGACATTGTAATTTAGTGATCACTCCCCATTTGCATAAAAAGAGCTTCCTTACTTTATTTTCCGACTGTTTGGTGCTCAGTTGTGTGCATGGACTATACATTATACAGTCAGTCACCTGTACACCTCAACAACATAGCTCATTTCTAGTCTCTTCTGCCACAAACATGCTGCAGTGAGTCACCTTGTCAGGACATCATTTGACACCCGTGGGAGTATCTGTTGGATGAATTCCTGGGACTGGAATTGCTCCATGGATGCACTTGTAATTTTGATTGCTTTTGCCAATTTGCCTGCCAGAGAGCTGGCATCAGTGACCACACCAGCTTTGGCAATGAAGACTTTGTGGCCGAGAAATCTGAATGCCTGGGGAAAGCAGTGGCCCTGGGTGTCCCTGCCCTCCACTTGAGAGGGCACCCGGGTGTCTGGGGTGGAACCAATTCTCCTGGTTTCCCTGTGGTCCCCTGTGGGGACCCTTCATCCTGGCCTCTCTGAGCATTTGCATGTGTCCACCCCCTGCAGGTTCTCCACCAAGTCCTGGCTGTCGCAGGTCTGCCACGTGTGCCAGAAGAGCATGATGTTTGGAGTGAAGTGCAAGCATTGCAGGTGACGGGCGGAGGGCGGCAGAGGTGGGAGAGGGGGCACAGACTCCATACTTCCAGTTCAGGAAGTCTTGCTACTTGGTTCTTGACCTCAGGTCAAATCAGAGTTCAAAGGAACTCACTTGAGAGTTCCAAAACCTATTCCTAATCTCAGCACATCAGGGAGTGATCAGCCCTCTCTTGGAAGAATAAGGAAGCATCAGGCAATGCATTGTTAGAAGAAGGGACTGTTTGAGGTGGGCTTTGAAGGATGAATAGAAGTTTACCAGCTGGACTAAGGAGGAAAGAGAATCCCGGGTCGAGAAAGCACCTTGTGTGGAATGGCAGAACTTTTCTGGAAACTGTAAGGAGTTCTGAAGTTTAAGGTTAGCACATAAGGAGTCGGGAAATGGGGCCAGGGAGTGGTAAATACAGAGAAGTGGCTTGTGATATTTAGAGAAGAGAATGAGGGAAGAATGTAGATTCTATATAAATTCAGTCCTTTTCCTACTGTTGAGGTTTCTGGTGGGAAAAAAGGGCAAGGATTGTGAACAGTAGGGTGAGCAGAGTCTGCTTCCTGCTATTGAGCTACTCCCACTTTACAGAGGATGGACCTGAGGCCTGTTGCCAGTCCACTTTGCCCTTGCATTGCTGTGTGACCCAAAGCAAGATGCTTGCCCTTTCTGGGCCTCATTTTTGTCTTCCAGGTCTCTCTCTGCAATCAGGATTACTCGAAAAATCTGAGCTAGAGTGTGTAGTAAAAGCATCTGGGCTCCCGCCAGACTGTAGGTGATAGGTCTCCTGTGTGTCTGTTGGATAAATTGTGGTTAGGACAGAACCACAGGAAAACACAAAGGAGATGTCAGACCTTTCTCACCAGTCTAGGTGTTTGGTGGCTCCCGGCCATCTGGCTTTAAATGAGGGGCCTCCAGCTCCTGTTCAAGTAATGCCTTTCATGCAGAGAGCACAAGATAACCTCTGAACCCCAGGCTATCCTGTAGTTGCAGCGTGAGGTTGGAGGACCCCAACTGTCAGCCCATTTGATCAGTGAGAACCCTGAGATGGTTCAGCAGGCAGAACCAAACCAAGAATCCCAATCCAGCTCTTTCCATTCCCTTCACTCTGATCCTCAGACAACGTGGCCTATGCAGGAAGGGCCTCCCCGGGATCCTTGGATAATGGAAATATTTTCCTTCTAATTCATCGCTTTGAAGTTCAGATTTGTCTCAAGCTTTGCGAATGTGGGTAGAGGGTCTCCTTTGGTTTAGAAAAGAGAAATAGATGTATGACCTACAGCAAGTTAAAACAGGTGAAATCAAACTTGTTTGCACCTAGATGGGTGGCATGGGATGGGATGTAGAAGGGAGATTCAAGAGGGAGGGAAACATCTGTATACCTATGCTTGATTCATGTTCATGTGTGGCAGAAACCAACGCAGCATTGTAAAGCAATTATCTTCCAATTAAAAAAAAAACAACAACCCTGCTTTGCTGTGACAATGAGGCAGATGAGAGCAGGAAAATGGCAGTGCTTAATGGATACTAGCTGCTAGTACTATTAACACAAGATGCTCTCCACTCTAAAGCTAATGTTTGTTGAGACATTTGTGGGAATCGAGGCAGTCAGGGTTGAGTGTTGTACAGAACTGCCAGGCAGTGCCTCCGAACCCCTGTGTGTGTCCTGGGGCCCCGTGTGGTGCCTCCAAGCACTGACCCTGCCTTCTCCACCAGGTTGAAGTGTCATAACAAGTGTACAAAAGAAGCCCCTGCCTGTAGAATATCCTTCCTTCCACGTGAGTGTCCTGCTCTTCTCCCCTCACCTCGGGATTTGGGGTGCATCTTTCTTGATCCTGTTCCGTGCTGATGGTTACAACCCCCCCTCTTTTTAAACAGTACCCAAGCTTCGGAGGACAGAATCCGTGCCCTCAGACATCAACAATCCGGTGGACAGAGCCGCTGAACCCCACTTTGGAACCCTCCCCAAAGCACTGACAAAGAAGGTGGGAGACATATCAAGAGAATTCTTGCCCAGGGTTCCTGTCTGTGACACACGCCCAGGGTGGCGGTCCCATAGGGAAGTGTGATGCTGCAACCCGGTTGCATGGCCAGAGGGTAGCCTGCGGGGATCTCATGTTTAGCGATTGTGTAGGTTTCACATTTGTGTGCAAATCATTGTTATGTGACAATACCCCCCACCCCCACCCCCCATTTTTTAATTAATTGATTTTTGGCTGCGCCGGGTCTTCGTTGCTATGCGAAGACTATCTCAAGTTGTGGCGAGCCAGGGCCACTCTAGTTGTGGAGCATGCTCCAGCTTCCTCTTGCGATAGCTTCCCTTGTTTCAGAGCGTGGGCTCTAGGACTCGCGGGCTTCAGTTGTTGTGGCACCCTCCCCTATTTTGAGCCACTGTTTCCTGAGTACTTCAACGTCAGGGACGGAATTTTCTCCATTGATAACTCATCTGCTCCCCACAATGGTTCTAAAAGTCACATGCTAATGTCACTGCCCTTTTTTTTCAATAGTTTTTTTTTTTTTTTTTTTGGCTACACTGTGGCTTGTGGGATCTTTGTTCCCCAACTGGGGATCAAACCTGTGCCCTCAACAATGAAAGCACAGAGTCCTAACCACTGGACCACCAGGGATTTTTTATTACTTCCACTTTAGAGATGAAGAAACTGCGTGCGAGGTTCCCTGTGGGTGAGAGGCAGGCCCGGAGCGCATGGGTGCTGCGGAGGGCAGGGCTGTGGGGTTGTGCTCCAGCCGGCCCCTGGTGCCTGCCTTGGCAGCGAGGAAATGTTTCTATTCAACGCTGAGCAACCCCGTGAGGCCGCAGCTAATGCCCCGCTTATGCAGACAACATACCGTGTGGCTGAGAAGCGTGGGCCAATTCGTCCAAGGTCACACAGCCGCTGACCCTGGGCTGGGGCTCAACCTGCCTCAAACAAACCCCCTGCCCTGGCTGGCCTGGCCTGATCGGGATGGGGAGTCTGGGACGTGGTGTGTGAGGGGGCAGAGGGCTCAGGGGGTGCAGCGCCCCCCCTTTAGCCTGGCAGCAGGCGGTGTTGGCCGTCTCTGAACAGTGAGACCCACTGCGTGGCTTTGGTGGTTTCCAGAATCCCCCCCGCATCCCAGGGCCTTGAGGGCCTGCCAGAGAGAAACCGGCTGAGCTTAGCTTTTAACCCAGGTTAGACCCGACTTTTTTTGAACAGGACTGCCTGCCCCACCCCCTAAGGAACTGGTGTTTGGTCTAGGAGACACTGGTCAGGCCCATGGTCCCCCAGACATGGACTCGGCTCCCCCGTGACCCTCCCGCAGGGGATCTTCTGGCCTTGCTAGGGTCCACACCACTGTGTGGCCCAGCTGGCAGATCCACCTGCTGAGTGGCGGGAGCACTTATTAGGCACCCACTGTGTGTGTGCACCCAGTCACTCAGTCATGCCTGACTCTTTGCAAATCCCATGGACTGTAGCTCACCGGGCTCCTCTGTCCATGGGATTTTCCAAGCAAGAATACTGGAGTGGGTTGCCATTTCCTACTCCAGGGGATCTTCCCCACCCAGGGGTCGAACTGTATCTCCTACATTGGCAGGCAGATTCTTTTACCACTGAGTCATCTGGAAGCCCCACCCACTGTGAACCATCCACTAAATACTTGTCAGAGGCTGAATTTAATTCACTAAAGGACCCTGCTCTATGGTCAGCCCAGAGCTAGGCCCTGGGTGTGTGACAAGATGTGGCTCTTGCTTTCCTGGGACACACACAGTATGGTGGAGAGAGTCTTCAGAAAACCACCTGAGACCCCTGCAGCTGGCAAACCATAGTTCAAGTGCCCCAATGAAAAGTTCTCAGGGCCCTGGGAGGATAAAAGGGGGGTGGGGGGGGAGCCTGGCTCCCACCAGGGGGGAGGACTTCTTGGAGGAAAGGATGTTTGAGCTGAAAAGAGAAAGATGAGAGGAGCCCTGCAGGGGTCAGGCATTGAGGTGCAGGTCTCCCCGTGCCGTCTTCCCTCTAACGTTACACCCATAAGATGCCAGGACACCCTGGCTGACCTCCTCCTTTTTAGGTGGGGAGGGGTGGGCGGGCAGGCTGGGCTGGGTGGTCCCTGCCACTCCCCATGTCTCTGGTCCTGCAGGAGCACCCTCCAGCCGTGAACCACCTGGACTCCAGCAGCAACCCATCCTCCACTACGTCCTCCACGCCCTCCTCGCCTGCGCCCTTCCCAGCGTCGTCCAACCCATCCAGTGCCACCACGCCCCCCAACCCCTCGCCTGGCCAGCGGGATGGCAGGTTCAACTTCCCAGGTACCACACCTTGGGGCTTTCTTGGGCCTGAGGGGTGGGGTTGCATGTCCCTTCTCTGCCCTTCCTGGCTGACTCAAGGCCAAACCGTCTCCACCGCTAAGAGCAGTAGCTGAACACTGAGTGTATCACCATATTTAAACCTGCTGTGATTGTACCCATTTTACAGATGGGGACACTGAGGTTCAGAGGGAGTGAGTGGCTGACCCCAAGCTGTAAGCAGCAGAGCCAGGATCAAAGCCAAGTCTGCCTGATGCAAAGCCTGGGTTCTTGACCTAGTCCCCAGGCTGCCCTCCTGTGTGTGGGGTGGCTTCTCAGGGGCATTGTTCACTTCCTTGGGGCTTCTGGGCTCCTGAGAAACAGGGCAGGCAGCACTGAGACCTGGGGCGAGCCCAGAAGGCCAGGACGAAGGAATCCGGGGCTCTGTGGCTTACCTGCTCTGTGTCTGGACGAGCTGCTTAAGGGGGCACTTCTGTTCCCTTTTCTATAAAACAAGAGACTCTGTGAGGCTGGAGTTAGCTTATCCCCACTCTGTGGGTGAGGCCGTGAAGTCCACCCAGGGGTGTGTGCCAGAGCCGAGCTGACCTCTGACCATGGTTCTGGCTGCCCTGGGTCTATAGGGACAGGGATCCTGCCACTCAGCCAGGCCTGGCATGTCCCACCTCCCCAGGGAGCAGAACAAAGCCCACTGGCCCCCTTCAGGACTGAGCCCCAGCCCTGGCCTCCCAGGCAGCCCCTCGAAACTGGTCTCAGCCCTCAGCATGTTTGAAGCTCAGGGAAGGAGGGCAGCTAGGCTGCCCCAGTTTGCTCCGGGCCCAGCCAGGCTGGTTGCCAGCTTCAGCTTGTGGACTCCAGGCCTGGCCCCACCTGTCACCAGTCCCCAGGGTTCCAGGCCAAGGACGACAGAGGCATGGCTTTTCCTGTGCCAGCGGACCCCTCTAGCCTCATCTCCCCAGGGTCCCAGGGATTTCTTTTGGGGGTGGTGGTGAGATTTTTTAGGAATCTTTCTTCTTTTTTGCCTTAACATGCATGTGGCTGGCTATCTCCCGACACTAATGCATCGTCCCAAGCCCGCCCCTCCCTCCTGCGACCCAGTGATGGCCCCGTGATTACACTCCTCTGTTCTGCTCTGTCATTGTGTTGCTCTGAAACCAGGCCTTTTGCTGAACCTCCTAGTCTGAAAGGAAAGAAAAGGCTTTTTCTGAAAGGAGGGGCCTGTTGGAAAAACAAGAGTCACTGAAAAAGTCCTTTGTGTGACATCAGCCAGAGCTTCTTAGCTTCCCTGATGTCCTGGGCTGGGCCTGCATTGTACCCTGCACGGAGCCCTCTCTCTCTGGTCATGGGCTGGGCTGGGCTGGGCTGGCGGTTAATGTGGGATGGAACCTCCTCCTATAGTCCACCCACTCCATACTGTGCGGGAGCACCTCCGTGTATGTCTGAGGCTAACCCTGGAGGAAGTTGTTTTTTGGATGATATTGAGTGGCAGAAGCCTCAGTAACTCCAGGTGTGAACGTGGGTTGGTGGATTGTCCCTTCTCCTGCACACAGCACTGTTCAGTGTTTCAGAATCTTGGTTTTTCTCCCCATTCAATTTTGCCCTCCTGGGCTCATGCGCAGTTCACAGAGGAGAAGGGGGCTGGGGAGGTGAATGGAATGGGCCAGGACTCTGCAGCACGGTGGCCCCCGAGACTGGGTCTCCGAACCCCAGTCCTCCAGTGCAAGTCCCCTTACTCCTGGGGGCTCCTGCCAGCACCCACTTTCTCCCAGCTCTTTTCCTCCTTCCTGCATGGAGCGCCCCGTCCTGGCCAGGCCCACCTGGGACAGGGCAGGTGGGGCAGGGGTGCCCCAGCCTTATAACCAGCCCCTCTCCCCTGAGCCCCTGCCTCTGTTCCCGCTCCCTGAGCTGCGTTTGCTATCCTGTGTGTGACTCACTTCCTCTTCTGTTTAAAGCTGCCTACTTCATTCATCATAGACAGCAGTTTATCTTCCCAGGTGAGTCCTTCGCATGGTTCCACTAACGGTCGCTTGCTGTGACCCTCTCTGTCCAGCTCTCTCCCTGAGGACCTGTGTCTCACACCCATCTGCTCTGAGGGTGGGCAAGGGGGCAGAGTCAGTAGCCTTGAAGCCAGCCCTTCACAGGGGGCAGCGCCTTACCACGAGGACCCTTGTCATCCACCCTCCCCCGCCTCTTTGCAGAGGCTGCATGCTGGCAACTTGTCCAGGGTCACAGCCAGGAAGAGGTGGAAACCCAGTTTGCAGAATAAGGGGAGAGGACCTTTTGCTGATGCCTTATGAGCATCTGACAAGATATCATCTTCTACATAATGGCAAGGAAACTACTACCCTTTCTTAAAGAAGGGGATGCCATTTTGGGAAGGTCTGCAGACTTCATTTATTTGGCGGTCTTTCCTTCCAGAGCCTTGTTGCACGGCGCCATCTACTGGCCATTGTTGGAAATGCCTGCCGTGCAGAAAGGTGAAAGAAAACTTTTAGTCAGACGTTCTCATTAATTTCCTTCCACAGAAATTGTTTTGCACACCTACTATGTGCCATCCTTTGCATTTGACCATATTCCTGCCCCTAAGGAGTTTATACTCCTTAATACTTATTTCTCTAATTGGAGGTGACAAGCAATAGTATAAGTAATCTGTGGCTTTAGTCATCTAAATATAATACTAATACATATTATATTTAAATATAATATAATACATATAATACTAATAGTATTAGTAATCTGTGGTTAGTCACATGAAGGTTGTTTTTCCCTGGATTAAACGGGCCTGTCTTGAAGTCATGGTATTTTGGTAATCCCAGGCCTTCCTATTCCCCATCCCAGCTCCATTAGGGGAGTGACTGAGAGCATTTGTTAGCTCCTATAGGTGGTTTCTCAGGCTGTGCGGGCAGGCTGGGGGTCGGGCCAGGCTCCCCGAGCTGCCTCTGTGGGTTCACACCCATTGTTTCCCATGGTTCCCCTCCAAGAGCCTGCCTGGTTACTGCTCTAGGCTGACATACAGGGGAGTACCCTTGAAAGCTTTGGGAGAACGTGGCTTTTCTTCTAGAAGGGTCCATCTTGCTCTGAAGATGTTGGGGGTGGGGGGAGAAAGGAAATACAGTTCTATTAAAACAAACATGGACACACTTGGAGCAGAATACAAATTACACTCTTAACGTTTAAGGAAAAGTGTGAAGCTTCAGAGGCACTTTGCCTCCTCCAACTTGGGGTGCTGTTTCTCCCCAGACTCCCATCTACCCCATGTCACCCTGTCTCTGCAAATGTGTTTTCCTTCTGTGGGAACATTTGAGCCACATTGGGTGGGTAGGAACATCAGGCTGCCTTTGACAGTCTGCAGACACAAGGTAGTGGTCTCTGGGGGAACCTTGGCAGAGACTTCCGGGGTCTAGGATTCCCCAGAAATTGTACACACAGGATGTTGGGTGCATGTGTGCATTTCTCTGATAAGAAGACCCACGGCCTCTATCAGACTCTCCCAAGTCTGTGAGGTCCCAGAAATATTGAGAGGGCTTCCCAGGTGGTACTAGCGGTAAAGAACCTGCCTGCCAATGCAGGAGATGCTGGTTTGATCCCTGGGTCGAGAAGATCCTCTGGAGGAGTAAATAGCAAACCACTTCACTATTCTTGCCTGGGAAATCCCATTGACAAAAGAGCTGGTGGGCTGCAGTCCATGAGGTCTCAAAGGGTCAGACACGACTGAACATGCAGGCAGAGATGTCGAGAAAGCTTCAGGGATAGCCTTGCAGAGAGTCCAGAGGGAGATGAGAGAGGTTTGCTGGCTGATGGGATTTCGCCTTGTTCTAGCAGACAGAGAGAGGCCCTGATTAGCTCCAACCACCGCCACCTCCAATCTCTTCTTGTGCTGCAAAAGGGGGTGAAGGGCCCACCCAGCCCTGAGGCTGCTAGCCTCTCCGAGTGCAATGAGAAGTGACCAGAGAGAACAGAGAGAAGCCGGCCGCAGGAGCAGCCATGGGGAGGCGGGGAGAGTTGGCTTCTGCCACAGTGGCCCCACGCTGGGGTGACCATCTGTCCAGTATTCTCCGGATGGGGGGCTTTTGGTGCTGAAACTGGGAAAGCCACCGGCTCAGGGGTCAGTGCCAGCTGCCCCATCCCGGGGTCCCTGATGTGTGGACTGCATTTCTGTCCACCAGCCACCAAAGCTGGAAGCTGAGGGGATGGGGCCTCTGGCTCCCACCCAAAGTGCCTGCCAGGCGCCCGGTGTCGCTAACGAGCCACCTGCTAGTCTGGCCTTGGGCCTCTGCTAGCCCGAGGGTCTTGCTGCCTTCAAGGGTTGTTGCAGCCAGCAGCCCCTGCCTCAGAGGTGAGGAGGAGGGTCCGGCCCACACGTCCAGTCAGCAGGAGCCCAGTTGCTTTTACCACTTGCTTGTAGGGGCCTCAAGCAACTGAGAAGTCTCAGCCTCCACCCCGCCTGGAGTCCCTACCCAGGGCAGAGCCGTGTGAGAAAAACCAAGTGCCGCGGAGGCTTCGTCTGCATTCTGTTTTAGGAAAAGCTCGTGGAAGTGGCCCCAGAGCCCGCGTGTGGCCCAGGGTGGGGCTGCTGGGGAAGCACCTCTGCCCTTGTCTCCGGGGGCAGTGGGAACGGGTCTCATGCCTCGTATTTTTTTTCCGTTTCCTCCAGACATTTCGGCATTTCCACAGGCAGCGCCGTTCACCGATGGAGCAGACAGTTCCCGGTAGGCATCGTGCACTTTCTCCTCCTTGGGGACTTGTTAAAGCTGGACCCACATCCCTGACCACCTCCTTCATCTACCTTTATTAATATTTTTGTTACATTTTATTTTATATTGGAGTATGGGCGATGAACAGTGTGGTGATAGTTTCAGGTGGCCAGCAATGGGACTCAGCCATACATATTCTGTGTATCCATTCTCCAACCCCCAGCCCCAAACACCCCCTCCCGTCCGGGCTGCCACATAACCCTGGGCAGGGCTCCCTGCGCAGGGCCATGTTCCACCTCCACGTTTCAATCTCTGACCCTCTAATTACCACGGACCTGGGCAGCCAGATGGAGCACTCCCTGGGCTAATTCACCCTGTGATCCAGTTAACTCAGCCACAGGGTTATATTTGCCTCCTATCAGCGCAGTTCAGCATTGGGTGGGCTGCCTGTGCAACAGGAGCTGTCTAGTGACCCAGGAGGGCTGGGCGAAGGGCACTCAGCCTTAGAGAAGCCTGATAATACAGCTTCTGTTCATGACACTCCTTGGGCATCAAGGAGCCCTTCTCGGTCAGGCCACACTGAGCACTTGACTCACCTTCTTGTGTAGAGTTCTCAGCCAGGTGTAAAGGAGGTGTCATCCTTGACATCCAGATGAGGGAATCAGCTCAGAGAGGTTAAGAAATTGCATTAAGTCACACAGCTTAGTGAGTAATGGACGCAGTCCCCAAGTAGAATTCCAAATCCTGTGCCCGTGCTCGGAACCTCATACTAGCTGTCAGATTTGAAAGGCCCCTGATGGTCACTGTCCACCCCTCGGCCCCACCACCCTCAAGTTCAGCCTGGGGAAGGCCAAGGCCAGAGAAGGGAAGTGGGGTCTGTCCTTCGGCCTGCTGTATGTTTCCACAGCATCCAGATCACCTTCCCCCGTGGCCAAGTGAGTCAAAGGAAGGGTCCAAGCCTGGCACCCCTTTCTCAGACCTCACATGGGGCGTCCCCTGCCCAGCTGGGAGCCAAGTTGCCCGGCCTTGAGTCCTCCTTGATAAACCCTGTTTTACTCTTAGGCTCGACGACCAGCCAAAAGCAGATGTGTCGGAAGATCGTGAAGTGGAGGTGAGTGATAGCGACACGCGAGCCGTAGACGGAGCATCTCTTTCCTCTCTCCCCGGCTCAGCACGTGGAGGCATCTGGGAGTGTGTGGGCTGCCGGCTCCGGCGGGCGCCGTCCCCGGTGCCCACCTGCTGCAGCAGACGCGGGCAGTGTGCAAGGCAGCGAGAGCAGTGAGGAGTGCTGCAAAGCAAGCTTCCTTTTGCTTTTCTGTTTTTTGAGGCTGAAGTAAGCGCTTCATTCCTGTGGTTTCCACCTCCAGCCGAGAGGCCTGGGCCCTAGCCCAGGAGACTTTCTTTCAGTCAGGGGTGGGGCCAGGCAGTTGGATGTTATCAAAGATTCCTGGGTGATTCTGATTGTAGCTGGGGCCAAGGACTGCTGCCTTGACCCCTGAACCAGGGTCACCTGCGCCTGGCAAGTGTGGTGGCTTATGGAGCCTCAGCAGACTGATTTACTCTTGCCCAGAGGAGTCATGGGCTTCCCAGGTGGTGCTAGGGGTAAAGACTCCACCTGCCAAAGCAGGAGATGCAAGAGACATGGGTTTGGTCCTGGGTCGGGAAGATCCTATGGAGTAGGAAATGCCTAGAAAATTCCGTGGGCAGAGGAGCCTAGTGGGCTGGGTCCCAAAGAGTCGGACAGGACTGAGTGACTTAGCACAACACAGCACACAGAGGAGAGTCTCAAGCTCTGTTTAAACAAAAGCATAGGACTTCCCTGGTTTTCCAGTGGCTAAGACTCTGCACACCCAATTCAGGGGGCCCAGGTTTGATCTCTGGTCAGGGGACTAGATCCCACATGCTGCAACTAAGAGCTCGCATGCTACAACTAAAACTCCTGCATGCTGTAACTAAAAACAGAACAGAAAAAAAGATCCCACATGCTGCAACTAAGACCTGGTGCAGGCAAATAAATAAAATGAATAAATATTAAAAAAAAAATAAAAGCATATCCAGAAGGGTGAGTGTTAGTGCTCTTCCCCAGCGATTAGGAATTGCTCCTAGGTGCGTCTTGGAACATTAGCGGAAAGAAGGGCCACGCTCCGTAGTTTGTGGATTAGGACATTGAGACCGTGTGGTGCTGAGTGATCCGTCCACTTCGCACATGAAATCTGCACAGAGCTGGGACTAGAGCCCAGGCCTCCTGACCCCAGACCCCTCTGCTCCCCGACCTGGTGGGGGTCCTGGGGGAGGGCAGTCACCTGCCCCCAGGTCTGCCACCCTTTCTATTTCCTCCTCCTCTCCTTCCAGGCTGAGGAGCCTGAGGCCGGCAAGTCAGAGGCCGAAGACGACGAGGACGAGGTGGACGACCTGCCGACCTCCCGCCGGCCCTGGCGGGGCCCCATCTCGCGCAAGGCCAGCCAGACCAGCGTGTACCTGCAGGAGTGGGACATCCCCTTCGAGCAGGTGGAGCTGGGTGAGCCCATCGGGCAGGGCCGCTGGGGCCGGGTGCACCGCGGCCGCTGGCACGGCGAGGTGGCCATCCGCCTGCTGGAGATGGACGGCCACAACCAGGACCACCTGAAGCTGTTCAAGAAGGAGGTGATGAACTACCGGCAGACGCGGCACGAGAACGTGGTGCTCTTCATGGGGGCCTGCATGAACCCGCCCCACCTGGCCATCATCACCAGGTAGCCCGGCCCCGCCCCTGCCCCGCCCCTTCCCCGGGGACCTGCTTATTTGCATGCCGCTGGAGGGCGTTTTCATGTAGAGTGGGCCAAAGGAAAAAACTGGGACTTCCCCGGCTGTCCAGGGGTTAGCACTTCGCCTTCCAGTGCAGCAGGTGCGAGTTTGATACCTGGTCAGGCAGCTAAGATCCCACATGCCTCAGGGCCAAAAAGACAAAGCCTGTTACACAGAGGGAAGTAAGTCAGGAAGAGAAAACCAAATATTGTCTATTAATGCATATATATGGGATCGAGAAAAACGGTCCTGATGAACCTATTTGCAGGGCAGGCATGGAGACACATAGAAAATAGACTTGTGGATGCAGCAGGGGAAGGATAGGGTGGGACGAATTGAGAGGACAGCACTGATGCATATTCACGACCATGTGTGAAATAGATGGCTGATGGGAAGTTGCTCTGCAATACGGGAGCTCAGCCGGGTGCTCTGTGACAACCTAGGGGGTGAGATGGAGTGTGGGTAGGAGAGAGGCTCAAGAAGGAGGGCACATATGTATGCTTACGGCCGATGCACGGTGCTTTATGGCAGAAACCAACACAGCATTGTAAAGCAGTGACCCTCCAGTTAAAAACAAATTTTCAAATACTGAAGCAATATTGTAACAAATTCAATAAAGGCTTTAAAAATGGTCCACATTTAAAAAAAAATCTTAAAAGAAGAAACCCCCAAAATGGAGTATAACTTCCCCATCATATAACCCCATTGACATTAAATAAATAAATAAATGAAAGGATAACTAAAGACAGAATTCAAATGTTCCGGAAAAGTACAAAGTGAAAACCAGTCTCCTCCCACCCTACCTGGGTGCTTCTGTAAAAAGGTGGGTACTGTAAACAGTTCCTTATCATGCCTTCCATTCGAATCAAGGCATTTGTATACACTCATGTTTTTAAGGGCTTCTCAGGTGGCACTGGTTGTAAAGAGCCCACCTGCCAATGCAGGAGACGCTCAGCATCTCTCATACCCCAGCCTCAGCGCTGTCCATCATTCAGCCTTCCGTCTCTCTCTCATCTACCCAATCCCGTGAGAGATCTGAGTCTGCTTAAAGGGAATGTGGCACTAGTGGTGAAGATTCTGCCTGCCAATGCAGGAGACATGAGATGTGGGTTCAGTTCCTGGGTCGGGAAGATCCCCTGGAGGAGGAAATGGCATCCCACTCCAGTATTGCCCGGAGAATCCCATGGACAGAGGAGCCTGGTGGACTACAATCCGTAGGGTCACAAAGAGTCATACACGACTGAAGCTATTTAGCACATACAGTAAAAGAATAAAAGAACATTAACAAAACATTTAACATGGCTGAGGGGGCTGGAACATGGAAAAGTAACCATCAACCGATACTCCAGACCCTGAAGGTCGAGGAATCTTATCTCATTGGAGACGGTTCCTAAAAACTAGCCCCTTCCTCAGATGGCTTAAGTCAACTTCTCCCTGGAGCGGCAATGAAACGACCCATTCTCTCTAAGTCCTTCCTCACTCCAGGTTTTGCTTTAAATATTTATGTATTTACTTGGCTGTGTCGGGTCTTAGTTGCAGCTACGGGATCTTTCACTGTGGTGTGCCGGCTTAGTTGCTTCATGGCCTGTGGGATATTAGTTCCCTGACCAGGGATCGAACCTGAGTTCCCTGCATTGCAAGGCAGATTCTTAACCACTGAAGTCCCTCACCCCAGGTTTTAGGAGTCAGTATAGGTAGGGACTCCAACATACAAGCCCCTTATCTAATATAATCACTCTGACACCCCGATAGCCACCCCCGCCCCTGCCCCTGCTCCAGGGCACATTCTGCCTTGTCATTAAAAACCCCGTGATCAGAAAACAGCACGATCACAAAAGTCATTATGGAGCTCCCAGAGCCCTGATGCTGCCCGGTCATACCTGAAAAGGCCAGGTTCTTCCCTGGGTGACTTTGAGTGGGCGAGTTCCTGCCTCGAACCACGAGAACAGGTAGACTGCTCTGAATGTCTGGCTCAGCTGGTAAAGAATCTGCCCATAATGTGGGAGACCTGGGTTTAATCCCTGAGTTGGGAAGATCCCCTGGAGAAGGGAAAGGCTACCCACTCCAGTATTCTGGCCTGGAGAATTCCATGGACTGTATATCTTAAAGAGCTGGACACAACTGAGCAATCCTTAAACTTAACTTAGTGAACTATTTCCTGTTCTATGGTGGGTGGGCTAGAGGTCTCAGGGGATGTGTGTTCTTGCCCATTCAGGCCGGGCCCCTTCAGCAATGAGCATCAAGGGGACTTCCCTGGTGGTCCAGTGGTTAAGACACAGTGCTTCCATGACAAGGCAGGGTTCGATCCCTGGTCCCCATGTGCCATGAAGTGCAACCAAAATAAAACAAAGAAGGAATGGCATCAGGCTGGTCAAGAAGGATTCTGGCACCCAGGGTCCAAGGGATGGAGCTGGTGGGCACAGCTCTCCCCGGTTCCACAAGGGCTGAGGTCAGGCTGCACGGGGCCCCAGATCTCTGCCTGACCCTCCACTCTTCACAGCTTCTGCAAGGGACGGACGTTGCACTCGTTCGTGAGGGACCCCAAGACATCTCTGGACATCAACAAGACCAGGCAGATCGCCCAGGAGATCATTAAGGTAAAGGTTCCAGAGGTCCTAGCTGTCCCCCGATCCATCTGCCGGCGTCAGGCTGGCGGTGGTGGCTGTTCTGTCTCCCCCTTTGGCTGGGGTGCCTCATGGGTAGGACCCCCATCTCCTTCCCTCTTTCTTTGTCTTGTCTCCTGGGAGTTGAACACACTGGAGAAATGCAGTGGGCTTTAAAGACAGATGGTCTGAGTTTGAATCTTGTTGATACAGATATAGCTGTGTGACTTCGGGCAGGTTGATTAGCCTCTCTGAGCCTTGGCCTCCTCCCCTGTAAAATGGGGTTGCCTGTGTCACCTCCCTCACTGGATTTGTGCAAAGATAAACTGGGATAATCTGTGGAGAGAGCACTGAGCCCTGGGCCACTAGCGCTTGGTGAGAGTCTGTTAGAATTGATTCAGGCTTGGGGCCAGTGTTCTGCCTTAAGGTTTCTGAATCTAAGTTTCATGCAGACAAGCCCTCAGGCTCAAATCAGGCAGCCTTTTTCTTTTTTTGCTTCTATCTTTTCCAAGTAATTAAACAAAAGTGAAAGAAATGCTTATTTGTTTCTTTATTTAGCAGCAGACAGGGTCTGAGAAAAACTCCATCAGGGCTGGATGGGCTTCCTCTTCCTGGTTCTTGTTTTTGCAGAAAAGCAAAACCAGCTCCCACCAAGTTTTTGTCCCTGTCCTGTCTTCAGTTTTGCTGCTTTTCTTTTTTTCTCCCTCCCTCCTTCCATCCATCACGTGTGCGCATCATTGGAAAGGAAAAGATAAAAATCTCAGTGACATTTAGAAACAGAGATTTCTCCATGATTTCTCCATGACATCTCCATATGGCAAAACGAACGCATGGGCTTACCCTGATGGCTCAGTGGTAAAGAATCAACCTGCCAATGCAGGAAACGCAGGTTCAATCCCTGAATCAGGAAGATCCCCTGGAGAAGGAAATGGCAGCCCCCTCCAGCATTCTTGCCTGGGAAATCCCATGGACAGAGGAGCCTGGTGGGCTACAGTCCATGGGATCAGAAAAAGAGTCACACAAAAAAGAGAGACACAGCTTAGCGACTACACAACCACAAATGAAAGAATTAAACTTTTGCAGCCCCCCCCAAACCAAACTATCACATGTATGCCTTCATCTCTAGTCTGTCTCATCACAGAGCAGTTGAGGGGAGCTGCAGTGTGATATCCCCAGACCTGCTAGGCCCTGCTCCCCCAAACTGTTGTGTCTCCTTATTGTCGGGACACTGGGGGAGTCTGGGTGCTGAGTTTGGCTGAATTCGGCTGAATGAGTCATTTGGAAGATTCCAGGGTAGGAGTTGCTCAAAGATTTTGGAGCTGCAGAGCCAGAAGCAAGCTCTCTGCTGGCTCATTTATTTTCCCCATCCCCCTGCTTCTGGGAACTTCTAAGCCACTTCCTTTTGTATGCATCTCTGATACTTTGAGGCTCAAAATATAATAATGGGGTCTTGACCTTTGGTTCGGAGAAGGCCTTGGCGACAACCCACTCCAGTACTCTTGCTTGGAAAATCCCATGGACGGAGGAGCCTGGTAGGCTGCAGTCCATGGGGTCACGAAGTGTCGGACACAACTGAGCAACTTCACTTTCACTTTTCACTTTCGTGCACTGGAGAAGGAAATGGCAACCCACTCCAGTATTCTTGCCTAGAGAATCCCAGGGATGGGGGAGCTTGGTGGGCTGCCGTCCATGGGGTTGCAAGAGTCGGACACAACTGAAGTGACTTAGCAGCAGCAGCAGCAGCAGCAGACCTTTGGTTAGAGGGTTTGGGGGGCCACCCCTGAAGTGTTGGGAAATTATAGGAAGGGAGGAGAGTTTGTGTTGCAGACCTGGGCACTTTCTATCTTATCTCTGGCTGTTTGAGGCTGTGGCACCTATTTTATTAACAAGGCTCAGAGAGGTGCAGCCACTTATCCCCGGTCACACAGCAGGTCCCTGTTCAACCCAAGGTGTGGTCTTTGGCTCTTGGTTTGGTTTGGGAAGTGGGCAGATATTTTAAGGGGGATCGTCTTACATTCAGGGTGGAGTTTTGGGAGAGAGTAAGTCACCCTTTTTGAAAACTCCCCGCTTCCGTGGTGGGATGACAGCTCTCAGTAGGCCTGAGGAAAGCGGCCACGGTGAACCCCACGCCCTCCCGTCTCTTACAGAAGAGCATCTGCCTGTGTACATTCTTCTCTGATGAGCTCCGGCCCCACTTGGTCCAAGCTCTGGGGTCAGCTGAGTTCTGTCTGCTTCTGCCTCGCAGCCCGTTCCTTCTCTTCCTCAATGGGGCTTGTTGTTGACCTCTCCCCTCCTCACCCCGAAATACCTGTGAAGGCAGGGAGATTTTTCTCGTGTGAGGCACCCTTGATGTGGGAGGTAGGGAGGTGGGTTTGCATGTGCCTCTTTCTGACCTGGCAAGGATGCCCACTTCAATTGTGGCATTGCGTACCCCTCTCGCTGTTCCCAAGCGCATCAGGGTACCTGGAAGTCCTCGGTTTGGCCTCGGATGAGAGCATGCCTGCATCAGGTCACCCACATCCCGTGTGCCTGGCTGGTCAGTGTTCCGTGCAAATAGGGCATTGGTTTGAAATCCCCCAGCCCTGACCTGGCACTTGGCAGATGAGGAAACTGAGGCTCAAAAGTCGAGTCCAAGGCCACACAGTGAATTAGAATCATCTGGGCTGGATTTCAGTCTTAGTCCAGGACTTCTACAGCAGTGCGGGCAGCGGGACCACCTGAGCTCGGGGACTCCCTCTGTGGGAATTCCGCTCTGTTCCCCATGCCCACCCCAAGCCTTTGCTCAGCCTGAGAGGTGAGGCTAGCCGTGCAAAGCCTGATGAGACCTTAGATCGTTGGGTCTTCTATGATTTACCCCAGAGGGTAGAGACTTCCCTGGAGGTCCAGTGGTTAAAACTCCATGCGTCCAATGCAGAGGGCATGGGTTTGATCCCTCGTTGGGGAACTAAGATGCCACATGCCTCACAACATGGCCAAAAAATTAAAAAAGAAAGAAAAACGGTGGGTAGCATCACAGTGAACCTTTATATACTTCCTGACCACCCCTCCCCCAGAGCCCCCATTCCCCCTTTCTACACTTCATCTGAGTATAAGGTGGATGTCGGGCAGCGTGGTGACACGGCAGCAGTGCTGACTGGCCTGGAACCAGATCTCAGCAGTGCTGCCTAACCACTGTGTGACCCGGGGCAAGGGACCTCCTGTCTCTGAGGCTGGGTTTGCTCCTCTGTAAAAGGAGACAGTCACACTGCATAGGGTTGCGAAGGTTAAATGAGGGGCCTGGGGTAAGGTCTCTGGCTCAGGGCCTGGCCCAGGGTAAAAGCTAAGCCATCATCATCCGTCTTCCCTCTGCCCCTGACGTGAGGCTGTCTGTCTTCCAGGGCATGGGGTACCTCCACGCCAAGGGCATCGTGCACAAAGATCTGAAATCCAAGAACGTCTTCTACGACAACGGCAAAGTGGTCATCACAGACTTCGGGCTGTTCGGGATCTCGGGTGTCGTGCGAGAGGGACGGTCAGTTGGCCTTGGGCGTCCAGAGAGACTGGGGCAGTGCTGCTGGGCCTGAGGCCTGGGCACTGTTGCCGACGGTGGCTGAGGGCCAGCCCGCCCTATAGGAAAGGCTAGGTCTGCTTTGCTCCTGCCCTTGTGGTTCCGGTTCAGAATCAGATTTGGGTGACCTCGAGGTCCCTCATAGCGCTTAATTCTCAGGCTGACTGCTGAGGAGGCTGGGTCCCCTCACCCCCATTTTCCCTGTATGCTCACTGCCTTGGGCAGGGGACCACGGTTCCCGTCCCCATCGTGCGGAAGAGCGTCAGGTTCTAGTTCCATGAAACCTGAAGGAGAAAGGCCACTCCCCCAGCCTCAGGACCCCAGGAGGGAGAGCCAGCCCCAGGCCAGGTTGTGAGCTCCACAGGCCGTTCCCGTCTCCTGCATGGAGATGCCCTCTGCTCTCCCAGGGTAGAGAATCGGCGCCCTCAGGAGCAGCTCCTGGCCAGTGCTGTCCTTGGCCTGCTATTCTCGAAGAACCTGCTTATCACTCCTCTGTAACATTCCCCCAAAGCACAGGTGCCTTGGCAAGTGCTGCTGTTCTGGGCCGTGCATGGGGTTGCAAAGAGTCAGACATGACTGAGCACACACATAGATCAGCCCTGGGGCAGACGCGTGCCCTGTGGGCCTCTTTGCTGCCCACTCAAGGCCATCTCCTTGCCCTGACTTCTTGCCACCAGGCGTGAGAACCAGCTGAAGCTGTCACATGACTGGCTGTGCTACCTGGCCCCGGAGATCGTGCGGGAGATGACCCCCGGGAAGGACGAGGACCAGCTGCCCTTCTCCAAAGCTGCTGACGTCTATGCATTCGGGTGAGGAGGCACCTGGCGTCCCTCTTCCTGGGGCTCTGAGGCCAACTGTGGCTGAATCAGAGGGTCCTGCTGGCTACTGGGGGGCGGGGGGTGTGCTCTGAGGCCGGTTCAGCTGCTTGTTTGGACCAGTGACCATGTCCTCGACCTTCCGTTTTCCCCACCTGTAAAATGGGATGAATAGAGCTCCTTCCTGGTATAGCTGTTTCATGAGGACTGAATTAGGTGATTGTATAAAATACTTAAGGGGCCTCCCAGGTGGTGCTAGTGGAAAAGAACCTGTCTGCCAATGGAGGAAACCTAATGAGATGCGAGTTTGATCCCTGGGTCAGGAAGATCCCCTGGAGGAGGAAATGGCAACCCCCTCCAGTATCCTTGCCTGGAGAATGCCTATGGACAGCCCAACAGAGGAGCCTGTCGGGCTACAGTCCATGGGGTTGCAAAGCGTCAAACACAACTGAAGCGAATTGAGCACACACGCATAAAATGCTTAACTCTGGGTGTCCTTCTCACCTGTTGCTCCCCAAGGACAGTCTCCAGAGCTAACCAAGAGCTGTCCCTCTGGGAGAAGGGGGCAGCTTCCAGCTGTGCCCCAAGAAGAGCTGGCAGATAGACACACAGAAATGTAGAAATAAAACATGAGCCAGATGCATAAAACCTTCCCTTAGCCACATTAAGGAAGGAACCGGTAAAATCAGTTTCAATACATATTTAATTCAGTGTGGCCAAAATATAATCATTTCAGCATGTAATCAAAATAAATTCAGGAGATATTTTATGCCACAGAGCTTTCAAAAATTTGGTGTGTTTTACACCTCAGTTCCCCTCCCCACATCTGAGTTACTCAGTATCCTCACGCACCCCCACCCCACCCCCCACATTGGTCAGGGTGGGTCTAATGGAGATGGTCCCGTGCAGATAAGTCGAGAAAGGCTAGGGGACTTGGAGGGTCAGAGTGAGGGCCCCATGCCATAATCTCTTGGGGGATCCTTTCCTCATGGGTGGCCTCTTCCTGCCCTGACCTGTCAGTCATTTCCTGAGCACCTGCGTGTGCCAGGCCCAGGGCGGGGCATTCCCGTCACTCCTCAGAGGGCGCCCGCCCCACTGAGGTTGAATGGTTGTACCAGGACCTCTGTCCAGAGCGGTGGTGTCTCAGACTTCTCAGCACACTGGGAGCGCAGGGCCCCGGGTGCACTCGGCGTGGTCCCAGAAGCCTGGTGGGCGAGGAAGGTGGGCCGAGTCCTGGGTCCTCAGGCTGGGCTCCGGGCGTCACGGCAGCAGGCGGCCCCCACCCCCACCCCCACGCCCCACTAGTGTGAGCGGAGCGGAGCTGTCCATGAGCTCACGCCGTGTGGGGGGTCCCCACAGGACTGTTTGGTATGAGCTGCAAGCCCGAGACTGGCCCTTGAAGAACCAAGCTGCAGAGGCCCTGATCTGGCAGATTGGAAGCGGAGAGGGCATGAAGCGCGTCCTGGCCTCCGCCAGCCTGGGGAAGGAAGTCACCGTGAGTAGCCGCCCTGCGCTGGGAGAGGGCGGTGGGGCTGGAGGGCCGGTGCCCGGCTGCCCTTCCTTCACCCTCCTGAGAAGCGGAAATGCGAGCCGGATGCATGTCAGGCTGGCCCCCGTGCTGCTGGCTAGGAGGCCTGTGAGCTTCCCAGGTGGTGCGGTGGTAAAGAATCCACCTGCCAGTGCATGAGACCCAGGAGGTATGGGTACGATCTCTAGGTTGGGAAGATCCCCTGGAGTAGGAAATGGCAACCCAGTGAAGTATTCTTGCCTGGGACAAGTATCATCTGTCCCATGGACAGAGGAGCCTGGCGGGCTCTAGTCCACAGGGTTGCAAAAATCACACGTGACTGAGTACAGACACACACACACACACACGAAGCCTGTATCCTTCACTACCCCACTGCTAACTTTTAAAAAACAATTGTCTTAAAAAAAAAATAGAAAGGAAATAAAGCTCATGGTTTTCTTGAATTATGAGAAAGATAATAAAGCCTGTATGTTACTTACTAGAAAGAAGATAATAACAAATTTCACTACCTAAAGGACAAACAGTGGGATTTTGGTAATACCAGATGTTTCTCCTTAATGTCTTTCTCGACTGTTCGAGAACTAGTCAAGATTTCCACAGCAAATTTGTTTTCAAGAGGCCAAATCATCATAGGTTTGCTGCACTCGCGTGACTGAATGCCAGTAGTGGTTTCTCTGTGTCGCGGTGTGTGAGTTCACCCTGCCTGGCACCGTGGTACGTGAAGGAGGCCAGGGGTGGTGTTTTCAGTGTTAGCCATGTGCCTGTGAGTCAGGTGGGCCTGGAGCAGACAGATGCCAGCGGGGTGTTGATAGGGAGCTCCAGGGGGTTCCTGGGTAGCACGGCAATGGAAGCCTCTGGGGGGACTACCCGGCACTCGTCCAGGTGAAGTGCTACCTAGGCTGTGAGTGTCCCTGCTGGGTCCCCACCTGCCTGGTCACGTGAGCACCTTCTGCCTGGTCGTCTGTGCAGCCCTGTCTTCTCACAGGAAGTTCTCCTGAATTGAAAGGCAGATGGGGGTGCAGTGTGGCTGAGTGGATCTGGAGAGTAGGCGGCAGGAGAAGGGCTTTGCCTTCCCTTGGGGTGGTCAAGACAGCTGTTCTGCCGACTTACTGCTGCCCTATGTCCAGTCCGTCTCGTCACTCCCAGCCTCCATTCCTGCAATGCCCAGGCTCCTGCCTCTGTTGCAGCCCCGCCTTCTGAATATCTTGTGTCTCACCTGTCAACACGCTGCTTTCTGCTTTCCATTCTAAATGTCTGTGATCTCTTTCCTCTGACCTGTCTTTTGGCTTTGTGACTGTTACTCCAGGGAGGTCAAGGAAGGAAGGAGGAGAGGCAGGCCCATGCTTGTCATTTTAACTGGAAGCCTGAGAGTGCTCCTGAAATTCAGTTACTTCTCATAGTCCAGCCATGGCTGGTCACCTCAGTGTCGGCAGGAGGGTCAGGGGACCGCCAGCTTGGGGGGGTTGGTGCCCAGGAGCATCAAAGGGACCCTGGGCAGAGGGCCTCAGCTGCACCTTTCTCATGCCTTCCCGTGGTTGTCTCGCCTTGCAGGAGATCCTGTCTGCCTGCTGGGCCTTCGACCTGCAGGAGCGGCCCAGCTTCCCCCTGCTGATGGACATGCTGGAGAAGCTGCCCAAACTGAACCGGCGGCTCTCGCACCCTGGGCACTTCTGGAAGTCTGCTGAGTAAGCACCCCTCAGAGCCAGACCTGCAGCCAGGTGTCTGGAGGGGGTGGGGGGCAACCATCTGCTCTGTCTGCCTGAGACTTCCACCTAGGGAACCCCTAGAGCTGGTTAGCCAGAGGGGACTCATTCCCTCGCCCAAGGGGTACTGGGATTCTGTTCACCACATTTTTAAAAACTTTATTTTACGTTGGAGTATAGCCAGTTAACAATGTGATAGTTTCAGGTGCAGAGCAGAGTGACTCAGCCATGCATATACATGCATCCATTCTCCCCCCAGACTTGCCTCCCATCCAGGCTGCCACATAACATTGAGCTGAATTCCCTGTGCTACACAGTAGGTCCTTATCAGTTATCCATTTTAAATATAGCAGTGTATACATGTCCATCCCAAACTCCCTAAATCCCCCTCCACCATCCTTCCCCCTGGGCAACCATAAGTTCGTTCTCTAAGTCTGCTGTTCACCACATTTATCTTGGAGACTCTTGCATAGGCTAGTGTCTCCTGTCCTCCTCTATGAAAACCTCCACATCACTGTTATCAGCTCAGTGCTAAAACTGGGCCCAGGCTAAGGCCCCAGCAAGAAGTTTCTGCCTGAGAAAGGGTCAAACAGAGCATCACTAAAACCAGCAGAGTGGCTGTTGCTTAAAATGACAGTCTCCCAACAGAGCCTTCAGCCCCCTGAGCAGCCACCTGTTACTGGGGCTGCATCTCCAGGGTTTAAGTGCCGCTTAGACTCTGGAGGCCCATCCTCCTTCTGTGTAATCATGGTCCTCGGCAGCCTCAGTGCCAGGGTGGGCTCCAGTCCTCTCTTCTGAGTTCTGCCTCCTTCCCTTTTTTCTTTGTCCCTCTGGCTCTCTCTGCCAGATTCCTCAAAAAACAGACGTCTGCCCTGCCCCTGGGAGAATCTGGGGAAGTCCTTCCTTGTTCCGGCCTCAGCTCCACAGCTGGACAGAGTGGAGGGGTGGGCAGACATGGCCTAAACATGGGACATAGTTCAGCTTTCCAGGCCGAGAGGGAAACTCAAGTGATGGCTCCTGGCCAGTGGGGTTTGCGGTGCCCCCAGCAGTGTGAAAAGCAGTGACACAACTGCATACAATCTGTGTCATAGCAACTCAGCTCTGCTGTTTGGTGTGGGGGCAGTCACAGACCTGTAAGCTCACGGGCTGACTGGTTCTAGTAAAACATTACTTATGAATGCTGAAACTTGAATTTCCTATTATTTCAGGCCATGAGATAGCAGCCCCCCAACCATTTCGAAAGGTGGAAAAAAAATCCAAACATTCTTTCTTTGTGGATTGTACAGAAACAAGTGGCAGGTCACACGTGGCTGGACTCTTGAACACGTGTGAACAAAGTCACACGTGGCTTTGAACTTTCATTTAAGGTGAAAGGCGCTTTCTAGAAGTGAAATCTCCCACAGCCCCAGAATATGGAGATAGAATAGATACAATGGCTTCTCTCTCTCTGTTTAAAATATTTATTTATTTGGCTGCACCAGCATTGCTGACTCAATGGACATGAGTTTGAGCAAACTCTGGGAGATGGTGAAGGACAGGGAAGCCTGGCATGTCATAAAGTGTCAGACACAACTATGCCGCTGAACAACAGTGGGTCTTAGCTGTGCCATGTGGGATCTAGTTCCCTGACCAGGGATCAAACCCAGACCCCCTTCACTGGGAGCTGGGTGTCTTAGCCACTGGACCACCAGGGAAGTCCCAAGTGGTGCTTCTCTTGATGGGAGTTGGGGGGAGGGCAAGAGCATAGCCTCCAGAGAAGCTGTACCCAGAACTCACACCTGCCTACGTGTGTGGTAGTTTCAGTACTTCCTTCTTCCAGAATGAACCAGGTATGGTCTCTGTCACACTTTTTTTAACAACTCTAAAATGATCACTTTTTGTGGCCTGATTTGACAGACCTTAGTTTGCCAGGTTGTTTTGAAAATAAACCAAACCAAGCTTTGAGCTGCAGGTGAGGAGAGGCCTAGGCTGGGTCAGCCCAGCAGTAGCTGTGAGGAGAACTTGTTGAAGAAATGTGGCAACTGAAGCCCGTCGTAGGGACAGTCTGAGGAATGATGATGTGTGTTGAGGGAATACTGTACCTTATAATGAAGATTCGATTCAGTATTTTGCACTTAAGATGGATCAGAGTCCAATACAAATAGCGGGTGACATGATGTTGCTGTCAGAGGCCTGGGTTTTTCCCAGCGATTGCTGGTGGCTGCACCACCCCTGAGGTCACATGCCAGAGCCAGGCCTCCACCAGCACAGAGCTGATGGTCTAATTAGGATAAAGACAAGCAGACGTGCGCTGTAAGCCCTCCAAGCAGGACGCTGTCTTGTCACCTCTGTATTCTCAGCTCCTAGCACAGTCCCGGGGGTATAGTGATCACTCAGTAAATATTTGGTGGATGAGGGGGATGAAGGAGGGAATGAGGACAGCATGCTGAGTGCCAGGCAAAAACCCAGCCAATGTGGGCACGCTGCCCCCAGGGAGCTTGAGAAAGGGCCTCCAGAAGAGAGGGGTCATGGGAGCTAGGTTTGGGTAGGAGCCTGAGGCTCTCCTGGACTCACAAGAAGTTCAAGGATCTGATTTGTCAGACCTTGGGCGACTCGTTTAGCAAACCAGGCCCTGGTTTTCTCCTCCACAAAAGCGAAGGCTGCACTGAGCAGGTGCTGACATTCAGGAGATGATTACAGATTCCCCAAAGGCCATGGAGCCCTGCCTTCTCTTTCCACACATGGGACACAGAGTCACAAATGGGGATGTTTCCTGCACAAAGTGATCAGCTTTAGCCTCTGCAGGGAAAGAATGCCAGCATACCTCAACAAATCTGTATCAAAGCTTTCTGTTCATGATTTTTACTTCCACACACTCAAGCCTCTAATTCTCGTTTTCTCTTTTCTTTTTCATCAATCTTGTTGCCTATTTTTATTTTGGGGGGGTGGTGGATGTGCTGGCCCATCCTGTCATCTCCCCCTCTCCTGCCGTCCTGATTCCTGCGGGCCCCCCGCCACCCACCCACGCTGGGTGTCCATCTCCATCACCTGCTGGACTGTGCTCCTCCCACATCTGGCAAATGGTTGCGGGTGCTCCCAGGCGCTGGCGGAGCCGCTACTACGGGAAAGGACGTTCCGGTCACCCTGACTTTAGGAACAACTGTCCAGTCCTGGAGGAATAGTGTGTCTTCTGCCATTTCCCTGATCCTCTGCCTGTCTGCATTTAACCCTTTGCACATCCTGCTTCCTACTGTCTCTGCATCCAGCTTCCCCTTCTTGGCGTGTGGCATTCCCATAAACAACAGTGATGCTCTGGCGGCTCACCTGGCCACTGGCGAGGGCCTTGCAGGCTGTTTCTCTCCCCGGGCTGAGAGCAGACCCACAGCGTGTGGCAGGGCCTCTGTCCACACACCATGGCAGATGATGGCCTGTTCTAGGATGGGTGAGAACTCAGATTGCTAGCCTGGGTCCCCAGGATCCCCTCTGGCTAGATCTTAAAGAAGAGAATGCAGGGAGCAGACATAGTAAACTCCAAGATGTCAGTTTCGATGGAGAGTCATGGGCCTGCTGATCGACCTCTGTTTAGCATTCTGTGGCCATGTCCCAGGGGAGAGCTTGGGGGAGGTTCTCTATGCCAGGCTCCCTTCCAAGCTTGCTCTGCTGCCAAGCCTGGACTGAAGTGGGGATGTCCTTTCCTCTGTCCACAGTGAAAGAGGGGCCCCTGCCCTGTGCCCTGGCCAGGCCTCAGCCACTCCCCCTGCCCTCTCCCCAAGGTCTCGGGCTCTGACTTTGCTCTCTCCCCTCTTGTCTCTCCTTCTGTAGGTTGTAGGCCTGGCTGCCTTGCATGTTCGGGGCTTTCTTCCTCCTAATCCACGCTCGGCACTGCGACTTCTCCGCCAGCTCAAACAGTGCTGCGGGCACTAACCCAGGGGATGCCATCCTGCCGCCCCAGCCTCTCTGCTGAGACTTTTCTGCTTTGTTTGTTAAAACTGGCCCTCGCCCCGCCCTGCGGCCCCGTGTGTGCCTGAGTAACAGCTTTCCACGGAGGGTCTCCCTAACAGCAGCCCCGCTACCCGGAACCGCCTCCCTGGATGCGACTTCATTTCTCTCTAGCACTTCTGTGGGGCGGTCCCGTCTCCCAACTAACAGCTCAATGAGAGAGATCCCCACTCTCCTGCACCCTGCAACATACCGGCCCTTGGCAGGGTGTGTCCCCGGGACGGGGCGGGGTTTGCTTGGCACTTAACCCGCGAGGATCTTGTCCAACAAGGAGTGGAATGATTTCAGAGCTGCCTGCGGTCCCCTCTGGCGGGCTGCTGGTGTGACATCACAAGTTCTATTGCCGTGAAAGACACCAGCTGGAAGGGGTGTGTCCTCGGCCGCACAGACACCTGGGAAAGTCGTCCTAAAGCTAGGGGGTGGGGCCTGTCTCCAAACAACTGTGAAAAAGCTTCTGGTCCACCCCTGCCCCCACAGCATCACTCCCCTTCCACCTGTCCTGTGCAAACCGAAAGTACCAGACCCCAAGCCAGCATTTGGCAGGAGTGTGGCTGACAGGTCACACACAGGTCCTCCATGGCTTACCAAACGCATGTTCCTGACCCACCAAGACCTGAATCTGGGTGTCTGGAGGCAGAAGCTGAGAACCTGTATTTCAACCCGTTGCCCAGATGGCCCCGATGCAACCCCACGTTTGAGAACCATTTCTGGAAGGAGCATGCAAATATCACTCTCAGGGCTGGGGCTGTTTCTCTTCCCTCCCAGTTCCACTCAGAGGAAGAGCTTTGAGAACGAGCTGCCAATGAGAACGAGCCCACAGCAGTTATTGGGCACGCGGGGAAATGGGGCTTTGGAGACAAACAGGCCACCGCCCTCCAAGAGGGAGCTGAGGCTTAGCACCTCTACCCCCAACCCCCACCCTCGGCCAGGTGTGACCGGGAGCAGCTCTGCCAAGGCCACTGGCCTTATCATCACTCCCACTTCTTGGTGCGGCCGGGTCCTCTACTGAGCTTCTGGAACTGGCCCCGCTCATTAGCTAATGTTGCCCAAATTCTGATCAAAACCTGCAGGGCGATAACTCTTGTTTTTGTTCCTCTTTTCAGCATTAACAGCAGCAAAGTTGTACCCCGGTTTGAAAGGTTTGGCTTGGGCATCCTGGAGTCCAGTAATCCAAAGATGTAGCCAGCCGTGCAGTTTTTCTGACAACGTATTTCTTTCTTAAATGTGTCTCTAAAACATCCGAACCACCACCACGACAAACAAACAAACAAACAAACAATGCTCTTCAAAATGCCAGCCACCCTCCTAAGTGCCGCAAACCAAGAGCACGAGGCCTTGGTTTAGACTGTTCGTCTGCAAAAACACTTGGGTTCTGGAGATGGAGCCACACCTGCTGTTTCTTAAAATGACATCACCAACAACCAGACCTGTCCTCACAGGCAGCAAATGTTTACATGTATGTTCCTGCGGAGTTGGACTCGAGGTTGTACGATAGGTAATAATAAAAAAACTGGTCTGTGCAGTGGTTGCTGGCACCATGGGCAGGGATGGCAGAAGTGGTCCTCCCTTCTGGAGGAGCCTGTAGGAGTGAGGTGTCCACACTGGGCCAGAGGAAGAAAAGCATGGTAATTGTGGCTGGTCTTCTGGCAGGACGGGCGGGGGGGGGGGGGGGGAGGGGGTTGACCACAGGGTTTGACCAGGCTTCTACTTTGGCCCTAAATCCCATCACCCCTCATCCTATCAAAGAGGTGTGGTCTCTTCCTCCTCTTGCAGGTGAGACCCTGACTGGGAGCTGAGCTGGATTAAGGGGGTCAGGAGTTTGCAGAGAGCTTGGGTTCATCTTTGACTCCTGTAATCCAGTCCATATCTACTGGAAAAGCAGAGACAGATCGAATCCAAATAACATCTGGATGGATCCAGTGGTTCCTAGCCAGGGTCTCCACTGCCTATGGAGGTGTTTCTTTCATGAATCCCCCAGCGGGGCACCTGGGAGATGGGATGAAAGGCTTTAGCTGTTTAGATACATCCCAGTCCTTAACTAACATTTGACCCCAGCGCTCAGGCCCAGCCCAGCAGTTTCGTACACCATGAAAGCTTGATCCATGAAAATGGGGAAGGTAGAAGACAGAGGAAGAGGCAGGCAGGGTCTCTGAGCCCACTCTCCCAGTCACAGGGCGCCCTGGCCCTTTAGAGGCCCATCATCCATCTTGCCACGGTTCTGTAACTGCCCACCCCTGAGTCCTGTTGAAACCCCTTAGCCTACTCCTGACTCCTCCGCTGCCCATGTTCGGAGCTCTTAGATAAGGTGGGAGGTGTGTGCCCTGCCTTTCCTTTAGCCCCAGCTAGCAAGCCCCTCACCTTCAGAGTCTTCCCAAGCACCAAGGCAGGCCATCTACTCGTGTCCCTTTGAACCAGGTTTGGGAAAGTCCAGCATATGAGAGGGTCCTGTCTGTCCTCATTAGAAGCTGACTCCTAAAGAGGAAAGTTCCAAATGGCAGAGAAGCCCTTCAGTGAAGGTTAGGGCGTATCTGGCTCCAAAGCCGGAAATAACCCAGGGTGACGAAAGTGGAGAGGAGATTGTCTTCAGACCCCCAACCCATGTCCACATTCGGAGCCAAGATGAGAAGGCACGTGGCCCTCCCACCGGGTTCACGTATCCCTGTCTAACCAGGCTCCGAACCTGGAGTCTGGCCAAATCATCGTGTGAAACGGGCTGCTTGGCCTGGAGACTGCGGGGTGACCTTCCTGGCTCTGGGCTGAGCATCCCTTGGAGGCCCTGCTGGCAGGGCACAGCCGAACAGCTGTGCTGGGTACTCGGGCCTCCGGGCCAACAGCACCTTAACCCTACCTGCTAGGGGTGTGGGGAGGAAGATGAAGAAGCTGTAAACCAGCTAGACTCTGCTCTGGGGGTCTTTTGTCCCCTGTGGGATGCTTGGCTTCTCCCCATCATCCCTTTGACCTCCAGGTCAGCCTCTCCCCTGATCTCCTGACTCCACGTGGTATGTGACTCCACCTCCTTTGGTCATCAGGCTCCTCCACACCAGCTCCTTCCCAGAGGTCACAGTTCATGCCTCTCATGTTTCCCCTCTGAACCCTTGGACGAGCAGGTGGCCTGAGAGGTGGGACGGCAGCTGAGTAAATGGGACTCACCTCACGGCCCACGGACAGTCAGCCTGGGTTTTTTTTCCCTTGGAGGGTGTCACACTCTTGGGTCAGTTCAGGAAGCTTTCTTTGAGCGTCTACTGTGTGCAAGTTCTGGGGGCCCAGTAGGGGAGCAGTCTCAGTGCCCGCGTTTAGGAAACATGATCTGCCAGGAACCCGGCGGGTGGGCCTGGGGGCCGCCCCCTTCCTCTCCCGGGCCCTGGGATGCCTTCTTGCTCTCAGCCTGAGCCTCTGGCCTGCCTGTCATTGAAGAGAAGCAGCTGAGGAGCTCCCCAGGTGGTCCCCATCACCCTGTCTCTGCTGAAGTGACTGTGAATTGAGGTTAGGAAGACACGCCTGCCCTTCCGTGTGCTCCCCCGTCTGCCTTGGAAACACATGAAGGACGGCAGATACTGTGAATTCAGCCCTCACAGCCAACTGTGAAAGGGATGGAGAAGCTGGGAGGCCTCCTGGACAAGATCTCGGGGGCTGCAGAAGTCCCCTGGGGTCTGAGAATGGAGCCCAAGTTTCAACCTTCAGCCCGCCCCCCCCGCCCCCGCACCTCCCTCCACTTCCCAGCCTCACCTCCAAACCCCTGGGATCTGTTCCTGATGACTTTAAACACCAGAGCCACAACCCTTGGTCCCCATCCAACCTGAGGTCTTGAATCATGAGTTCCCCACCAGTTGTGAGTGGCGTGTAGCCAAGATGACATCTCCATACCAACCACCAAATCAAAGATGCGTACAGGGCCTGGAATCCCTCTGCCCCGTCACGGAATTTCTTCCTGTGATCGCTGAGGGGCGTGGCGTGCCCTGTAAGCCCCTGGTGGGGGTGGTGGGGGTTGTCTGTGTTGCTTTGGGGCCGGGTGGAGACACAAATGTGAAGCCGGTTAGGGAGCTTGTGCGATGCTGCAGTGTCAGCCAGGATTTCATCTGTGTGTGCAAACCCAGCATCTTCTGTGGCCACGAGGCACACACTTGCTTTTTTTAATGTGATGTAAAATTTGTATATTAAAAGTTTTTATATTTTCTATCAACTGCATTTGTCTTCCAGAAATGCTATTAATTTAAATTAAAATGGGTAGTATTAACGGACGTGCGCTATCAGTTTTTGTGGGGTTTTTTTTTTTGCCATTGGCAAGAACACTGTGCCAGGCCCAGCCTGGGTGTCTAGAGTCTGTGAATAAAATTGTACCAAGGTGTCTGGGGCTTGTGTCTGCTTGGGTCCGTTCCAGATGAGTGGGGCAGAGGTGGGGGGCTCTCAGATGGGTGGCGTAGGAGAACAGGAAGGGAGGGGGCAGGGTGTTAAGCCCCCATCTGGGAGCTCCCTCCAGGGAAAGAAATTTTGCCTGGACCTTGGAGGTAGATATTTCTAAACAGATGAAGGGATGGAGAGAAGAGCATCAAAGCCCATGATGAACAGAAGGTCATCCTACCCCCAACAGTGACAGCCTGGTAACATACTCAGACCCGTCACTGTCTCTCTCTGGAGGGGTCTTTGACTTATGAAAGCCTTGAGGGGAGGGAGTCTAAATAAGAGTCATCTAAATATTTTTAGGAGCCTCTCCTTGCCAGTTATAAAGAGAGAAATGTGGGACTTCCCTCATGGTTCGGTGGTTAGGACAACACCTTCCAATGTAAGGGGTGTGGGTTCAACCCCTGGTCAGGGAGCTAAGATTCCATGTGCCTCGCAGCCAAAAAACCAAGACTTAAAGCAGAGACAATATTGTAACGACGTTACTATATTCATTGAGTAGTTCTATAAATTTTCTGGTGGCATCTTACAAAGGGATATTAGCGGTAAAAAGGAACACATTTGAGTCAGTTCTAAAGAGGTGGATGAACTTAGAGCCTATTATACAGAGTGAAGTAAGTCAGAAAGAGAAAAATAATTATTGTATACTAACACATATATGTGAAATCTAGAAAGATGGTACCGATTAACCTATTTTCAGGGCAGCAATGGAGATGCAGATGTAGAGAACGGACTTGTGGACACAGTGGGGGAGGGAGAGGGTGGACGAATTGAGAGAGTAGCAAGGAAACATATACCTTAACCGTATGTAAAACAGAGCCAGTGGGAATTCGCCGTATGATGCAGGGAGTTCAAGCCCAGTGCTCTTTGACAACCTGGGGAGGTGGAAGGGAGGTTCCGGAGGGAGGGAACGTACGTATGTGAGCGTTCTCAGCTGTGTCCAGCTCTTTGAAACGCTATGGACTGTGGCCTGCCAGGCTCCTCTGTCCATGGGATTTTCCAGGCAGACGTATGTATACCTATGGCTGATTCATGTTGATGTATGGTAGAAACCAACACAATATTGTAAAGCAATTATCCTGCAATTAAAAATAAATTTTAAAAAAGACTAAAAATCGTCCACATTAAAAAAAAAGTCTTAAAAAATTAAAAAAAAATTTTTTTTTAGAAAAAAAAAGAGGTAAGCAGGAGGTTGGGGTAAGCAAAACAGATGGGGCCCAAGGGGAACCAACATCTCTGAGCCAAGGAAGTGCTTTCTGCGCATCATCTTACCTTAATCTAGTCCTCATAGCAGCACCCCCAGGTAGGAACTGTTGCGATATTTCAGCTGAGGCACAGAGAAGTTAAAATACCTACCCAAGATAACACAGCTGGTCAGAGGCTAGTCCAGGCCTTGGGCCACAGCTTGATTTCAGAACCTCCCTCTCATCAGAAACTGGGGAATTTATTGGCCAGACATTTATTGAGCACCTCTGTGTGCAAAAGATGGTGCAAAGTGCTGGGATTCAGTAAAGAGGTAGAACTCTTGGTTTCAGCTAGTACTGACCCAAAGAAGGAGTCCCTCAGTCTGTCTAGCAGGCTTCATGGAGGAGGTGGCTTTGGAGCTGACTTGAAGGGTGAGTAAAATGCCTGTTGCATGTAAGTGAGAGGTCTTCCCAGGTGGTTCAGTGGTAAAGAATCCATCTGCCAGTACAGGAGATGTGAGTTTGATCCCTGGGTCAAACTTGGAGAAGGAGATGGTAACCCACTCCAATATTCTTGCCTGGAGAATTCCATGGACCGAG